TACCGGATTTTTGATACTGCAATAATGTACTGTATTTAGCGCATTCTTAATACTGTAATAATACTGCATTTACCGGATTCTTTTTTCTGCAATAATACTGTATTATTCGGATTCTTGATACTGCACATCCTCGGTTACCCAGTGTACTCATTCCGTTCTACTCCACTATACCCTGGGTTAATCTATGGGGGAGACACGTTTTCAAGTTATCCGTCCTTGATGATTGTGTTATTTTTATCGACCAATCCCATAAGTTGTTATTTGAAAAGGAAGTTGGCAAAGGTAAGTAACTCTCATCGGAGAATGTTAGGAGTTGGCCTATTCTAAATGCGTAATTATTAACAATCAATTATATATTATGTTAATGAAGACCAGACGTTCATATAATAATATAGGGTCATCAATGTTATTTAAAATCGTTCGTTCGTTCCCGGGACTTTATGTCCACGAGATTTCGTAGACAAGTTATTGTGAATCAAATTGCCAAGTATAAGTTCAATAATAATAAACATAACAGAATGACATATTTCAGACAAAGAACGAATAGTAATAATAATAACAAAAGTCAAAATATAGATCTTATACATATTTGAAATCAACAACACATACTACAGATTTTGATAATACAATTGAATATAAAAAAATTATAAATATATACATTATTTACATAAATCATTCCGTAAATGGACATGAATATGGTTATCTACCCTTATAAAAACGAAGGCGAAACGATTGGTTTGTAAACTGTTTTCTGATTGGTTCGTAGACTGTAGCTACATTCTAGGCCAGGGCAGATAAAATTTGAACTCGTGGAAACCCTATGGATTAACCCAGGGTATGGTGGAGTAGAACGGAATGAATACACTGGGTAACCGAGGATGGATTCTGCAGTAATACTGTATATTTGACAGATTCTGGATAATATAATTAATGCTGTATAGTCCGGGTTCTTGATACTGCAATAATACTGTAAATTGACCGGATTTTGGATACTGCAATAATACTGTATTGGCCGGATCCTTGATACTATAAATCTTAACCTATATTCTTAAGGGTACTTCACAAAAGAAATGTTTTGTGCTGATACATTTTACTGATATTATTACTGAATTTGCCGGATTCGTGATACTACAATGATACTGTATTGACCCGGTCATTTTTATTTCGTATCTTGGTCCCTATTTGTGATTTAATAGTATTATTCATTTGCTAATACATTTATCACGCTCATTGGTGAAAAAAGATTATTTGTTGAGACATGCATGACGTCTTAATTACAATCTGCCTATCTTCCTTAAAGGGCGTGTACTTTGGAACCTTACGTTAGTCTAAAAGCACACATTTATGTAATATCAATGTAAATAAAGCGATTAATATTTAATGGTTAATAAAGTTATTGTAATTTATAATCAATAATATACAGTGAAATACTTGAACTGTCAAAATTGAATGACAGTCGTTTACTCCTACCTAATCTACGCGGTTTTTTTTAAATAACTATCATTACTAATTACTTCCATGGTGTCTTTAATGTACATTTCTTTTTTCACTACAAATGCCACCCGAAGCCATAGAAAACACCATATAAATTGTCATTCGGTATTAGGATCACATATTTTCATGGCAAGATAACATATTGAATTCTAATTCAGTTTTAAATTTCATATTTTATAGAAAATTTAGAGTTAGTGGTTTAGCTACTCTAATCCCAATTCTATTGAAATGAGTTTGTTTACGAGTTAAATATGTTACCCTTTTTTCTTGTCTCATTGTATGTGGGCTTCACAATGTTCTGTAAGCTTTTGTTCCCGCCTCGGTTTTACGCCGGTTAGTGGAAGTTTCTTTATCTATAGACCTAATGTTTTCACTTTTTTATGCAATCATTTAAATATTGGATATGGTGTGTAGAATATGCATATCTATAAGACACCGTACTTTGAGGACAAGTGACAAACCCCTATTATAATGGTGATAAATTTATGAATTTTTTTCTATTTCATTTTTTCAATATTTCATACGTTCAGTATTCATTCAATTAAAAATTGCTATTATTCTTATGTTTCTGTTGATCCCTCATTTTTAATTAGACGTTAAGCTACTAATCTTATGATAGACGGTTGGCAGCTGACTCATTAACGAGTTTAATTACTATCTTCTTGTTTTATTTTATTGCAATGTCTTTTATATTTTAATCTTTCCACGTTAATTGTTATTAGTAACCTTGGTGTATATTGTTAATTCCTTAGATATCATTTTATTATAAATACCTATTTGTACGGAAGCTCAAATACGAACTATTTTTGTTTATTTCTTTTCCTATTTTTATTTCCAATTTTTAATTTTGAAAAAAGTAATTTCGAATTTATATTTTAAATTTTCGATTTTGTACAGTAATTTTCAATTTTGTACAATAATTTTCAATTTTGTACAATAATTTTCAATTGTGTACAATAATTTTCAATTTTGTACAATAATTTTCAATTTTGTACAATAATTTTCAATTTTGTACAATAATTTTCAATTTTCAATTTTCAATTTTGTACAATAATTTTCAATTTTGTACAATAATTTTCAATTTTGTACAATAATTTTCAATTTTGAACAATAATTTTCAATTTTTTAATTTTTAATTTTTATTTTTTATTTTCAATTTTGTAAAATAATTTCTAATTTTGTAAAATAATTTCTAACTTTGTAAAATAATTTCTGATTTTGTAAAATAATTTCTAATTTTGTAAATTTGTTTTCAGAACCATCAGACCGCCCCGGTTCACTTACATCTTGTCCAACCTCGTGGGTTTTCTCCAGGTCCTCCGGTTTCCTCCCACTGCAAAAGACTCCTACGCGCAAGCGAATTATTGAAATAAAATTAAACCGTAAGTTAGTCTCGAAATGACCTAGTTTGTGTCAAGTGGACGTTAAACCCCATTTTCTCTCTCTCTCTCACTCACTTACTGGTAGTAGTTGCGATGGGACAAAAAATTGAGGTCTCGTGTACATATTGGAGTGCACGTCAAAGATCTCTTCGCAGTTGGAATTCGATATAAGCTTAGGCCGTAGCGTCGCTGTCGGGATAAAATTTCCTTCATAGTACACTGTACGATGTATGTCCGTCTTCATTAGTCCAGTCGAAGCAGAACAGTAGGACGTTAAACCACACTTCATTTCCCTGTCGCCGTGGGACCCACGGTGGCTATGCGAGTAAGACACTGTCGGCCGAGAATGTTCATCGGTATTTTCAGGCGTGGTTTCCCCTTTGTAAATGGTGCAGGGCGGAGGACCTAACAAAGACAGCTGTTGAGTCGTTCTGATGCGACGAAAACTCGATGGCCCACACATTGGCGTGCAGGTATTTTCAGGCGTGCCCCCCCCCCCCTTGTAAATGGTGCAGGACGGAGGACCTAACAAAGACAGCTGTTGAGTCATTCGGATGCGATGAAAACTCGAAAGCCCACGCTCTGGCGTGCAAGTAAAAGACCCCTTAGCAGTTGAAATTCGGTACAAGAGTAGGCCGTAGCGCCGCTGTCCGGGCAAAATTTCCCTCATAGCACAATGTATGGCCTATGCCCGTCTTCATTAGCTCAGTCGCAGCAGAACAATAGGACGGCAAACCCCATTTCAATTCATTTTATTTTATTAAGTGGTCCCATTTCGTTGATAACAGACGCTTGTCTATACATGTATTCGGCCTATCTCGTCTATTTTTATACTTTTATTTGACCTCGGCTTCACGCCATCCAAACGCGCTGCCTTGAAAGAAAATTGCGACTAACACGCCTTTTTAAGAACTGTTTTTGTTAAGCGACACGTGTTTATAATCAGTAAACCTACGACCGTACCACAATCTCAGGCGTATAGCGGAGAGGCACATCAAGCTACGCCGTACAGGCGAGCAACATGACACGATGATGATCAAGGAATCAGTCGAGGTTTGCCGAATGATCCTCGAGAAAAACAAAATTAAAAATTAATTTACAAAATTAAAAATTAATTTACAAAATTAAAAATTAATTTACAAAATTAAAAATTAATTTACACAATTAAAAATTAATTTACACAATTAAAAATTAATTTACAAAATTAAAAATTAATTTACAAAATTAAAAATTAATTTACAAAATTAAAAATTAATTTACAAAATTAAAAATTAATTTACAAAATTAAAAATTAATTTACAAAATTAAAAATTAATTTACAAAATTAAAAATTAATTTACAAAATTAAAAATTATTCTACAAAATCCAAAATTATTCTACAAAATCCAAAATTAAAAATAGAAATTAGAAATTTTTTTTCAAAATAAAAAATTAAAAATAGAAATGTGAAATCGAAAAACAAAAAGTAGTTCGTATTTGAGCTTCCGTATTAACATCAACGAATTTAGAATTTTTACATTCTACCTTAGCAACCATCATTATGAAGTCGTTTGGTGTCGCTACTGCGTGCTCATTTGGTGATTGCGCACCTGGTCAGGACGGGCTTGATAGAGACGAGTGTATCCTCGTCGAAACGTCGCTTAGTATTAAACATCATGACACGATGATGATCAAGGAATCAGTCGAGGTTTGCCGAATGATCCTCGAGAAAAACAAAATTAAAAATTAATTTACAAAATTAAAAATTAATTTACAAAATTAAAAATTAATTTACAAAATTAAAAATTAATTTACACAATTAAAAATTAATTTACACAATTAAAAATTAATTTACACAATTAAAAATTAATTTACAAAATTAAAAATTAATTTACAAAATTAAAAATTAATTTACAAAATTAAAAATTAATTTACAAAATTAAAAATTAATTTACAAAATTAAAAATTAATTTACAAAATTAAAAATTAATTTACAAAATTAAAAATTATTCTACAAAATCCAAAATTATTCTACAAAATCCAAAATTAAAAATAGAAATTAGAAATTTTTTTTCAAAATAAAAAATTAAAAATAGAAATGTGAAATCGAAAAACAAAAAGTAGTTCGTATTTGAGCTTCCGTATTAACATCAACGAATTTAGAATTTTTACATTCTACCTTAGCAACCATCATTATGAAGTCGTTTGGTGTCGCTACTGCGTGCTCATTTAGTGATTGCGCACCTGGTCAGGACGGGCTTGATAGAGACGAGTGTATCCTCGTCGAAACGTCGCTTAGTATTAAACTCAGTAATTGTGTATCCATAAAATTGTACCCTATATTAATATAGACCGTACAGTATATAAATATTAATTGGCTCAATTGTAAAAAAAAATAAAATTCTCCAATTCCTGCACTTGCCTTAAATAAAAATTAGCAAATGCTGGTTAGCTTATATTTGAAATAGTATTTGCAAACCACATCACGTTCGATGTTGTTTGGGGGGTCGGATGGCCGAATAGTTAGCACGTGCGCGCTGTATCAAAAGGTCTGTTATCGAGTCAACTGGTGTGGTTTCGATTTCCCGGTTGTACGCACCAAGAAGTATGTTCGCCTGTCCAACCTCATGGGTTTTCTCCAAGTCCTCCAGGTTCCTCCCACTGCTAAAGACCCTTCGCGCAAGCGAATTATTGAAATAAAATTGAGCCATATGTTAGTCCCGAAATGACTTACTTTGTGTCGCGTGGACGTTAAACCCCATCTCTCTCTCTCTCTCTTTCTCTCCCCCCCCCCCTCTCTCTCTCTCTCTCTTCTATGCATATTCAATTTTAACACTCCGCCAAACCATTCAACCTGACGAAGAGCGAGTCGTTTGTATCAACAGAATGGTCCCGATCAGGTGCTCAATCGCTAAGTTGAGCACACGGTGGCGACACCAAACGACGTCATAATGACGGTTGCTGGGTAGAAGTATCAAAATTCTAAATTTGTTTGACGTTCATTTAACATGTAAAGCGACAATGAAGTAGACATTTTTCGTCTTATTAATAGAAATAAGATGAAACAGAATTAAAATTTACATTGAACAAATAAAGAAGTTGGATTATACATTGTCTTAACTTAGAAATTACATGAATGGGAGTTAGAAATTACATGAATGGGAGTAAGAAATTAGACGATAGCATGTTAGAATTTTGAATCTAATATACAGCCATATGTATCAACCAGTGATTGCTTTCCATATAAATTGTATAATTCTATGGAATACATTTTACTAGGCTTCTCTAGTCATTATCAAGCAATGATAAAATATGAAAATATAACAAGACAATATATACATGTACACAAAAATACTAGAGAAGCCTAGTAATAAGCAGTAATTTTATTCCATAGAATTGTGACCTGTATACTCCAGTTCAATTACTAAATGCCATTGAAACAATTCAAATAAATTCTGTTGTGTTTTTTGATGTGCTCAATCGCTAAATGATTACATGATTGACCAAGTTCGAGTTGAGGAAGATATAGGTTATAACGTGAGTATTTTAAACCAATCGAGCAAGTAAGAGTATAAGGAATTAACTTATTTTTGTCTTTTCATCTGTGTTGTTTGTTTGCAGTAATCTCCGTCAGATCTAAATTAAAAACATAATAAATTAACGCTTTTTCTTTTATTAAAGCATTAGTTTAGCGTTACATGAGATGCATTTTGTAAGACTTAGATAAAAAGGAGGCCATTCTTACTATAATAGTTCAAAAATAGATAATGACAATTTCATTCAAATTACTTTATTGATAGCAAAGTTATCACTGTTTGAATTTGACAAGACGTGACGTAGATTGTATATTATCGTAGCAATGGTACTTGTCAATCGAGACTCAGCCTTGATTCACCATTTTTATATTAAATCATTCCATTGCGATCGTATTTCAATCCATGTCAATGTCCGTAATCCGATGGTCTAGGGCGTTGATTATTGGCTTGCTATGTGAATAATTGTCTAAATAATAGTGTATGTCATTTGAAGCCAAATTAAAGACCTTTTACCAGCGTGGTAAATTGCTGCAAATTTTTTAATCACAATATTGCAATGATCAAACCTTCTGGGTTTTACTAACCCGCGGGGCACACAGGGAGAGTGTACATAGTTCTTCGGGTGTGCAAAAAACGTGTGTACACGTAAACAAGGAAGCCTCGTGATAGAATTTGAAAAGGTTCTCCTCTTGGCATATAGAGCGGGGGCCCAGGGGTCAACCTAGCTGTAAAGTGTACCAATTTTCTCCTATATGGTATTAATGCATGCATATCTGGTATCATCAGAATGTAAGTCTGCCGGTTATCTGGTGGTGGGTGTGGTATTCCACCCCAAAAATGCCATGTCACCCAATTAGGCTAGATTAGCTCAAAAGTGTACCACATGAAAATCGTACAGTAGGGTACCGTACATCTTCAGGTATTACAAAAACACTATGACAGACATTTCTAGTGGTGGGGTGACCCTGACAGAGCTATGTAATTACCAGACATTTGTAGTGGTGGAGTATCATTGACAAGAGTCATCTAATTTCCAGACCACAACTAGGCTAGATTAGCTGAAATCTGTACCACCTAAAACTGCGTTGAAGTTGTTCAGTACCACCACAGAAAACATTGAATGACCACTGCAGACAGTTTGTGCGGCTGGTTAACCCTAACAGACACGCCAAAAATGCCACGGCCCCCAACTAGGATATATTAGCGGGCACTGTAACCGTGATCCAAAAAAATTAAAAATTGTGCCAGGTTGCGTAGAATACTAATACCTAGCACGTATGGAAGAGGCTCTTGGTCTAATATCACATACAGATATTGGAATCTTTTATTCCGCCTAGTGGCGTCAATTCACTAAATTAATTGTCATTTAAAGTCCCGATGCTCCATTCTAAGCAATAGGAATCACTTGAAAACTACAATATTGTGAAAAATGAATCTCTTATATGAATATCAGTCCAAGAATGGTTTTTAAACCATTTTTAATTCAATTCAGTATTTATAAAGATATGTGGAATTGAAATTTCATAGGTCTATAAGCTGCTCGCTATGAAATAAACCCGCCACCATTTTGTTGTCCACGACAATTTAATGATCGGTCTGTTTTCAATCCGATTATTTCCAAGCCGGGGTATTATCTAGCGTTGGTATTTTGATTTTATTTTCTTAATTGAATGTTAAATAATCATTCTGCTTTCATCGTTAATTTAAATCTATACCTAAATCTTGGCTATCGAATCTATACAAGAAATCAAATCTAGATCTTAAGACGCCCTAAGCAGACTACATTGTTGCTTTTTGATTTTCTTATCTATAAATGATATTATTATACATACTAATATAATCCGAAGGCTGGGTTGTATTATCTGATGATTCGCACGGCAATTCATATGGTTGATCAATGGTTAAATAAGGTCCATTATTGCTTTCAATGTCATTATCTGGTCTATCATACCTACTATCTCCAGTTTGGTTTTCGCTAGATGGTTCAGGTTTAGCTGCAGTTTGGGCTGAAATGAAGTATAATATATTTCTCTTAGCTGTGTGCGAGCCGCATTGGCGCAGTAAGCAAACAAATTTGGCTCGTTAATCTGGAGGTCCCGTTTTCGATCCCGGTGCTGGCCGAGAAAGTTCATCGAGATTCTTCGGCATAGTCCCCCCTTTGGCGATCACTCTTAATCAAAATCAATCTATGGGGGAGCTCGCCTTTTCTACAACATTTCATATGACTTGGTATCAAATGTTTGAGAAATCAATCATCCTTACTAATCTAAAATTGTTTTAAAATCAGGAAGATGTGTATGGCGATTTGCGTGTTGTTGTTAGGTTTACTGCCGACCATTCACAAAGAACGAATTCGATACAGACATGTTTGTTAAGGCGACATATTCAAGAACATAAAAATACGAGCCGACTCAAAGGTGCGGCCGTTTATTCCCAATCTAGCGAACTAAACGCTCTGCGATGTCCATTCTTCTTAAAATTGTAAGCTGAAACACTGGGAACGAAACCTGACATAGTGAAATCTTACAAAGTAATTATATTTTCTATACCTGAACAGGACTCAGCTTGAACTCGACGTCGGTAATAGACTATTACTACAACCAGGACAATTACCACAATTACTACTAGGGATCCAAGGATAGACGTGGCTATTATTATATTTCTATTAGGTCCTTCTGAAATGATGAATTGGGAATCTGATGATAAACTATATACATTTGGGCAACAGTTAGCAGATAGAAAATATATTCAAATAAATATAGCCTAAGGAAATATTCTGAGAAGATCACTATTTTGTTTTCAGTAGACGCGATATTACTTCAAAACTTGTTTAAACATCAAGGGGGATAACCGCCCAAGCCATATTGGATTAAGGTATTTACATGTATCCCCATTTGTGATTTATTAAAACATTTGATTCTTGATCGGCGCAAATATTATACAATTAATATGCGTAATAAATTCTAAGCCAAATCCATAATAAATGAAGAATTAAAGACATCAGTAAATTAACTTTTAAAAGAAACTTTACCAAATGATTCAATAAGTAGTATCAGATGTGCCAGAAATATAAAACAGGATTAATCCGACTCTGCTCCCCACCAATTCCAATTACAGAATGAATGGAAACCTAACCACCAAGTTCCAATAGTATCATCAACATCAGACCCACCTTTATCTGTGATATCTTCAGTACTAACAGGTCCAACAGTAGTTGTTGTATTCGTGGTCTCTTTCCATAAAAAATGAATAGAAATATAGTTTATCATTAAAATGCCTTCGTTTCGCACGACACAAGCTTAAACAAGCAACTAGGGAAAGGTCGCTCTAAAATAATAATAATATCGGAAATAGGCGTAAACAAGTTTTCGTGAAACAAGTGGGCCAGCGACGGGGCCTAATAATGACTGTGACTTGGTTACCTAAGTTTGTTATACCAGGGGAAGTATGTCTGGCAGTAACCCCAGGAATAAATATCAGAATTGGACATATTAAATGTCAAAAAGTTTTCATGATAATATTTCTCTCTAGAATGTAAAAATCAAAGTATGGCCGACTCTCGAAGGGGTGATGACAGTATGACCACAGTAACATGTGGACGAATAAAATGAATAATTTCTCACTGACCTGTAAGGTAAATAGTAGCATTACGCATAAGCATAAGATTTGCTCGTCCTATGATACATCTGAACTGCAGCCCATCATCACCATATTTGACTGTATACGTTAGAGTACTACTTGTAATGTTCCCACATTGGCCAATGGATGGCGGTTTTATGTCACCATTGGAGATGTCATCCTTATTTGGGTATGGAAGCCAGTTATCTGAATTAGTTCGACTAATTTGCCAGATCCAACCTTTTTGTGGGTCACCACTGTTTCCACTGCATTTAATAGTCAGTCTAGTATTCACAAGATATAGGGGTGCTTTCGGGATAATGGACAATCGGAGATTTCCTGGGTTGCCTACAAAAGACAATGCGACTTACAATTGACTGACGATCCCTGGAAGTATTTATCATTGAAGCTTTGGTTGAGAAGGTGTTATGCAATTATTTTGGAGAGTAGTCAACCTGGACAGGTGTCAACAAAGGCCTAGCCTGTTCCCCAATCCATTTTCAAATAAAATATTTTTTGTAAATTTTTATTATCGTTTGATGATCGTAAGCTGCCATTTAATCCCAGTAATAGACTAAAGCATACTACACACTACATAGTTTGAGAATATATCAAATTTTTAAAATCTTTTCTTGGACAAGAGCTGAAGATCATACGCTGCCATTTAACCCCAGTAATAGTGCGCACAGAACTCCGTAGTTTCAAAATATATCGCCACCACGAATGGCCGCTATACTGAACAGTGAGTGTAATATTTTAATGATAACGGCGATTACTTACCACTATATCCTCGGCAATTTCAAGTCGGTCACTATTGACGAATTAATTACGTCACTCAATAGTTTGATCTTTATTTTTGGGTCATATAAACAGGTTACTACATCCAATTTTAACGTTTTATTTACATACTTAAAATTCAATTTAGATTTCCTGTAAATAATGGGATTCCTCCTTTAAACTTTAATCATGTTGTGCTTGACATTATGAAAATGAACCATCTTAAATGGCTTCCTTTAGGAAAGAGTTCTGGCAATTTTGTATTCAGCAACCAATAGAGCACACCCTTTTCGAAGTCGGTGATATGGAATGCGTGTTAGGAGTATTATAATTGGCAGAGCCATAAAAAAACAAGAACCAAAAACTTACTATCAACTGTTACGTTCTTTTTGTCTTGTGGGCTTATTTCTACTTGAAGGTAGTTTGTCCAGCATTGATATTCAGCTTCATCATTGCAATCCGGGTCATTGATGACAACTTGAAGGTAAGACTCAAGTGGTGAAGTTGAGATAAAGTCGCCACTTATGGTAAATTTAGGTGACGTTATTCCCGCCCCGGACCGAATCCCCTTTGAAGAGATGGTTGCAATTATGAATTCAACACTGCCTGATTGCTTAAAGATCTGAAGACTTCCAAGTGTTTTAATCCCGGTGATATTAGTGAAAACTGAAGGGAAGCACCTCACTGAGAGATTCTTAAAACCAGCTGCAAGGTTTTGAGATGGTAGAATTTCTAGACTTGCTTCTACTTTATCTAAACAAAATGTAATAAAATTATAAAATAAACTTCAATAAATTGGGTGGATGAATACACATATAGAATGATTTCCAACTAATAAGTTACAACCAATAAATTATCGTCGGGAATGACAAGAGTTGTAGAGTATAAGCAAGGTAGAATTTGTAGACTTCCTACTAGATTATCTAAATGAAAGAGAAGAAGTGGAACCTGGGTGAGCACCCCTCTCTCTCTCATCTCTGGCTTAAGTAATTTGTTGCTACTGACTCACCATCCAATATTATAGTGGTGTTGACACTATAGGATTCAGAACCTCCAACAAGACACCTAAAGGATAGCCCATGATCAGTTTCTTGTACTGTATAGTTCAAAGTACTTCTTCCAAAGTAAGTGCATTGTGAGGAATTTTTCTGAGCTATACTATTTGAATAAAATTGGTAAGGCTTCCACACTGACTCGTCAGGTAATTTCGTCTCCCAGGAGAACGCCTGTTCAGGGTTTCCCACGTTACCACTGCAAATCAGATCAATGGAGTCGTTGATGTTGTATTTATCATTACTTGGGATGGTTACCATTTGTATATCACTTGGACTGCCTGAAAATAAGAAATAAACAAGCCACCGGTGAGGTTGATGTCCACCAGCCGAAATCACAAAATAAATAGATGACACATATTAATTAATTGCACATTTATCTTTTTCAAAAGTAACGAGCAATCAAACTGATTATCTATGCTTAGTCTAAGCATAAAATGTTCGCGATCAAACTCAGGTTTTGAAGTAACTGGTAGTGAAACTATAAAGTAAGTTTCATCACTCTACATCAGTTAGAATCAAAGTTATCTTGTCCCAAGGCATCGACCAATGTAATTGCTTAGCTCTGCTTTGCTTTAGCGGGAAATATTAATCATTGAACTTAGTCAAGACATTCAACTAATAAACACCTATACCCCAAAAGCAGAGTTGTTATTTGCCAAAGTCTTGACCAATCGAATTGCTTATCGCTACTTAGCCTTAGCAGAAAATTCTCATCATCAAACATAGTCAAGGTATTGATATATTTAATGTATACCCGGAATTTCATCGCTCCCACCAAATTAGAACCAAAGTTATCGTGTTCCAAAGTCACAACTAATCAAATTGCTTATCCTTGCTTAGCCTTACTTGAAAATGCGCATGATGGAACTCTGTTAAGGCATTCACCTAATAGACATCTAAACCAAATTAATTTTGAACATTCTACTCAATTAGGAGAGTTATTGTGTTTTAAAGTCTCTGCCAATCATATTGAAGTCTCTATTTTGCCTGAGCAAAAATGCTCATCATCGAACTTTGTTAAGGTATTGATGTAATGAAACTATACACAACGTTTCACCACTATCACACAATCAGAATCAGTTGTCAAGATCCAAAGTCTCGACCAATCGATATAAGAGTAGGCAGTAGCGCCGCTTCCGGGCAAAATCTCCCTCATAGCACACTGTATGACGTATGCCCGTCTTCATTAGCCCAGTAGGACGTTAAACCCCATTTCATTTCATTTCACTTAATTAGAACCAAAGTTATCGTGTCCGAAAGCATCAACTAATTAAATTGCTTATCTCGGCTTACCCTGAACAGAAAATGCTCATCTTCGAACTCCTTCAAGGTATTCACCTAATAAACACCTACACAAGATTGAACATTCTAGTTCAATTAGAAGGAAAGTTATTGTGTCTCACAAAGTGTGACGGACAGACAGAAAGGCGGGGACAATTATTATTCATACAGTTTAAACAACAATTAGAGATTTGGGTGTTTTTTCATTTCAGTAAAACTATTCTTTTAGACTTGGCTTGACAATACAATATGAGCGATCAGATCTATATTTCGTCTCATTTTTTGTATACTTTCGATGGCCTCCCTGTTGTAGTGAAGACAAGTAAAGGGGAATTTTAAACTACATAAAAATACGAAATGAAATAGGATCTGTGTTTTAAACATATTGATTTACAATTATAATAAAGTTATGGCTAATGACATGCCAATGTTCTACATTTACACAAAGGGGAAAGTCCAATGCATTTTTCTTTCAATATACTTATGTTGAAGTTATTTAAATTGAGTTAATAATAATATGTTTATCTGTCTCATGATATCTTCAAAATATCAGGCGTTAAAGTTATTTCTTATTTTTTAAAGAAATAGTTATGATTTACCAGCCTAAATTTAAGTTGCTCTGTTTTTATACAATAGAGGTAGAAAATGGTGATAGTATCATATTTGTATCACATAAACTAGTGATAAAGTGTACATTGTATATAGTTTCTTGGAGGGTAAGTTAAAGCATCTTTGAAGCTGATAATCTTAACAATACTCAATAGATTATTGTCCCGTCTGTCACAAAATACACTGGAAGGTTGTTATATTAACATATCTAAGTAATATTTAAAAGATTAATATTAATAGCTATCTCATCTATATGGCTGATACAGAACATATAATTAATTAGATCTAACAGAATACACTGAAAGGTTGTTGTATTAAGATATCTAAGTAATATTTAAAAGATTAATATTAATAGCTCTCTCATCTATATGGCTGAAACAGAACATATAATTAATTAGATCTAACATGAATCGACAAAGTGAAAGTTTCAAGAAGCTTGTATTAATATTTTTGAATTTCATTTGTCATTGATCTATTTTTATTATTTGATAGTTCAGCTGGAATTATCAACAAACAAACTACGGTAACTCTTCAACAAAAAAGTTTGCCAACTTTAGGAATTTCTGAGAAACCCGAGTCAAAGCCACTTCAACTGGGAATTTTTAAAATGTTGATTAATAGGATTGCAGATTGGGTATCTGAATCTATCATATCCAAATATGCCCCATTTAGCATATTTATATTTGTTCTGAGCATATGAAAAATTACTTCAAAATTATCTATTTATTTATCATGTGAAATAATTTTAACAGCAATCTTTGCTTTATTATAAATTGTCTAAACACTATTATTTAAATGTTATAAAGTTTGATTTCAAAAATAATGAATTCACGATATGATACTTAATTTATAGGAGAAATGACATCATTATCGCAACGTAGTTTAATTTTGATTTGAGATAGAATTTTTGTTTTGAATAAATCCTTTGAAGAATGCATACAAATTAATGAACCGTAGAGATCCCTGTACGGGGATAATTTTAAGTTTCATATTTTATGAAACACTATATTATCTTCTTTTGTAGGAAATACCATGTTTTAATTCCCGTCTATCCCCAGTATCTTATAGAAAATGGGATTGTCATTTTATATGATAAGCTTTCCTGTCACGCTGGAGATCGTCTGTATTGTATTCTTAAATTGGAAGATCAACGATTTTCAAACAGGTTTCCATAAATATTAAAGGGGGATTAGGTAAGATTAGATAAAGAGGTGACAGTTCTCGCTATAATAGTAAAGAAAGTAGATAATGAAAACAGAATATGCTGAAAATGTCATTCAAATTTATTCACTCTGAACCGAGATATTATAGCGATTCAATTTTAGGCTATAGCGATTCAATTTCAATTGTCTCTTTAAAATATGTAAATATTGATCGAATAAATATTGTTAAAAAAAAAAAAAAAAAATTTAGGCTAGAATCGATCGTCATTACCACCGTCGGTACGATAATAAACAAAGTCTCGATCATCTATTTTTAGATTTACTCATCCATCACAAAACGTATTCAAATCAACTAAATATCGAAGGCTAATCGAGAGTTGATTATGGTCTTGATAAGTTAATTAATGTCTAATTAACAATTTAAAGAAAGGCTTGTAATAGGCAGATTTAGCTCTTGCTTAATGCATGTTTAAATATATATTTAGAAGTAATTCCCCTATAGCACAAGCAAAAATGTTTTTTATAAGAGAGAATTCAACACGCTGGCTGGTCTCTATGAAGTATACAGATTTAGCGCAAGTTGGCCGCTGTATTTTATTCACGTGTCGTCGATTGGCCGAACATCTTATCAAAGGGATATTCTAAACACGATATTGTGGGGGGTTTTTAACGTTTAATACACATTGCCGTCGCTTGAATTCATGCATAGTGAACAGTACACTGTGACCCAATTCACACCACATGGCTAATTGTTTAAATATGTTTTTTGTTTGACGGCTTGCAAGTGACAGCTATTATAATAATATCGATATCGAGAATTGTGCTACATATATGAATATTTATATAATCCTATAGATGTTGGTATGTATGGTCGTTGTAAAGGTTTAAAGGGATCGTTTACCTAATACTGGAGCAAAAAATCTTAAGAAATGGAGGAGTGTAATAAGATTATAGAGAAGTCATATCTCACGCACTTAAATTTAAAGATGTGATAGGTTGACACATAAAAAAGATTTATAATTTGATAAACATAACTGGTTCTATGCGAAACCAAAATATCACCAGATCACTTATGATAGGAAAGTTACCATTCCATATTTGGCATGAGTGACTGCAATCATACGATTAATTACATCATAATTAGCCAAAAGAATAATTAATAGCTGTGAATCTGAGCGTATATAACAAATATAATGTGCGTTCGTGGGTAGACTCAAAGCAGATACCGTTGTGGTTCAAGATACCATCTGGATTGAGTAGACCCCATTGATTTGTAGAAGAGCCATATGATGCAGTGTGTTCCGTCAGTAAACTCGGTCTGCGAATTAGGGGGTGTAGAGACAAACATCTTAATTTTAAGTGTTGTAAACTATATATCCAGGGCTTGATATAAAATGTAGAAACGAACTATAGCATTGTTGTACCTGGTCGACAAACGGCTAAGCCGCAAAGATTAAGAAGAAAATACACAACGTGAAAAGTAATCCAAGAAGAGAATTGCAAATATAACAAGAGACAATACTAGACGATCACATATATAACAGAAGAGAGTATGCGTCACACGTCGGCTGTGGGGCGTTTTCCCACGTACTTTCCACATCTAACTAGCGACGCATATTACTACACTATTTCGTCTGCTTGAATGTGTTTGTGTTTGCTAACAGTGTATTTCAATATAAACAGACCAAAATTATGGGCTAGTGCGATAAAATATGTAGTCCATTTTGGCAAAAATAACGACGTTTTCTTATTGTTTCTTCCATTTCTCCTGAGAATGGCTGGGCTCGAATATAGACCCACAAGAAATATCTTTTATTCCGATACGGTGTCTGACGTTGACATAAGTTGGAAATTTATATATTTATTTGAATATATTATGTAACCCAAGTCCGTTGAAATATAAGCAAATATTGTAGCACCATGAGTATTCTGTCAGACGTGGAGAGCAGGTCGTCAAATCCGGTCGCCACATGTATTTTCCCTTGTTGTCTTTGCTTCCCCTTTAGGTTGTGTATTTACTTCTTACTGTTTTCTTAAGACGCTGGTCTTTCCACGAATAACAATGCAACAGTTCGTTTTTACATTTTATATATCATAGCCGGATACATGGATACAAGCATAGTATATATTACAATACTAAAGTCATTCTCAAACACTAGCCAGCCAGACTCGCTGGTAGAAATTGCTACATATTTTCCCTTCTGGATTCAAGCTGCTGTCTGACGAATTCTCACAAGTATGATAGTTTTGTAGCTTCGGATTTTGGACCTTCAATAATCTAATTGGTCAAATATGATGTAAATAATTAGAGAGATTGGTTAATTGAGCCAAATGACGTCGAAACCCAACCTTATATGGTTAGTGGAACTTTACTGGAGAAACTTCCCATGAGATATCTGTTATCAACCTAGAATTGAATGTTTACCGCATTATGACTCTTTTTTTATATAACCATCTGTCACTCATTCGATAACTTGATTTAAGTACAAATATGTGAATCTACTAACTTGCCAGGGATAATAATTAATACAATATAATGTTATCTTTAATTTAAAGAGCAAAAATTCTAGCAAAAGTCCTACAACATGCCAGGACGAGCAAAACCATTCAAGCAGACAAAATATTTGTCACTTGCCGGGTGTCAAACAAACCGCGTGATGTAAACAATTAGCTGTATGGCATGAATTGGGCCAAAGCGTACTGTTCAGTATGAGTAGCTTTATGCAATGGATTTGTGTATTCAACGTTAAAAACGCATAATTTCGTGTCTATAATATCCTAATTATTTGTCAATTTCATCAGATTTTCGAGCAAACGACGATGCGTGAACAAAATAGGGCGCTAAACATATATTTATGTGAAACCTCGATGCTTCCTACAGAGACCAGCGTCACTTTCGGTTTAAATTTAAAGAAAAAGAAAATCTCGCCTACAAAAAGCTTTTTGCTAATGTTAAACAGGGAGTTATTTCTGATTATATGTTTTAAATGGACGGAAACTTTGTTTAAAATCGTTGGTCTTCCCCTATAAGGACATTGACAATGTATGGGATTTAAGATGACAATTTCTGCAGAGAATTCTGAAAGAGCAAAAACCCTGTTTTTAGTAGAAATATTGCCTTATTTCTAGTAATTTGTTCTTAATAAATACATGTATATCTAAGGAAGAACAGACTTTAGGTGTAGCTTTGTGTTGATGCAACTTAACGCGATAGTTACATATTTTCTAAGAAAGTTAAAGCATAATTATTTATATTATATTTATTGCTTAGTAGTTTGTCAAATCACTAGTATACGATCATAGAAATTATTCTAGTATTTTATAAACATAATGATAATATCGGAAAACGTAGCAAAATTACCTCCTTAGTATTAACATATTTTAAACATATGACTAATAATAAAAAAAAACAACTGTCGCTTAAGCCCCATTGTATAATTCCCACAAGCCATCTTTTGATATAAAAAGACTAGACAGTAATACAAGCACAGGCTTACTTTGTATAATTATATTTTGCTCGTCTTCAAGGGTTACGACTCCTCGGTTCGTCACTCCAACTGTCTTACAAACATATCGACCATCATCCTCACAACTGGGATCCTTTACTTCAATAATTATGTAAGACTGCTCTGGTGACGAATCATTGAAATGGCCAGAAACAGTATAATTAAATGACACATCCTGTGGTCCGACAACGGTTCCGACATCATCAACAGTTGCTAATAATGTGGTTTCGTTGTTCCGAAAGGAAACCTTTGTCATCTGTATATTGTATAGAGTGCTGTATCCGGCTTGTGAAGATGGGGAGCAGTTTACAGCTAAAAAATGGGTATTCCCTGCTGGTAACGTTTGTGACGCATCAATGTGTGCAGTAGAGATACCTGTAAAACAAGTTATGTGCATTATATGCATTGTTAAGAATACATAAGACTTCTTAAAATAGTTGACACAAAAAATCTAGGAAAACTTTTTTCTCGGAGAATTGAATAATAATCTGTAAATAAAGAATGTTAAAGTGACATTATGCGAGAACCAAACTTGTGATGGTAGAATTTGTAGACTTGCTTTTCGTTTTTGCAATATATATATATATATATATATATATATATATACAGAATATATTCCAACAAATTAAGAAACGGTAAATGGAATGAAACCAGCAGTAAGTCTATGGGATGGTAGAATTTTGTATATTGTTTATTTTATCTTAACGAAATATAACACAATATATAATATAAATCCGATCACACAGGCTGCTAAATATACACTATACGAGAACTACGAGAAAGAGACTAAAAGTTTGAAAGACCTGTACAAAGTCGATGGTTTCCATCTAGTTTCCTACAAAGGTGTACACAATGTTGCCAACGATGTTGGAAGGCTTGAGTGCCAGCCAGGAAGAAATTGTTCATTAGTCACCCCAAAAAAGTCGTTCACGGCCAACATAACGTCATCATTACTAGGAAAATGACGACCGGCTAGTTTCTTTTTGATTTCGCGAAGCATGTGACCATGGTTGTAAATCTGGCCAAAAAATTATCAGGATGAGCTTCAAAACAACGCAGATCGTCACTGGACGTGAGGAATCTTGACACGTTTCCGATCCGCAGTCAAGAACTTTGACACCCATCTTCCAGAAACATCGACATTTCTAACTCGTTGGTGATTATGTGCGCAACCCTCTTATGGGAGATGCCCACAAAACTGGCAATATGTCGATTTGTCGATCAGCCACCACATCATGCACCCGGGTAAGGTTTTTTGAATGGTTGCTATTGATGACCTTCCAGGGCGCGGGTCATGGTCAAGACCCTCTCTCTCTGCAACGCTTACATTCCATAGCCCACTTTTGTATTGTGGAAAAGGCATCATCCCCTAAAGTGGAGACCATGTTGGCATGATCTGTGTTGGGGTTAGTCCTTTCAGTTGCAGGTACTTGATGACTGTCCTATAGCCACATTTGTCCATTTCTGGTGATTTCAATGGGTAGGTTCACAAGATAGTGGGCGTTTGTCTTGCTTCAAATATAGCCCCCTATCCACTTGGAATCTTGAAATACAACCGTATTCAATACATTTAAGGAACTAAACAAAAATATCGTAAACAAAGACTATTGCATGAACCAAGTCCATGCAATAGACTTGTAATTACAGTCATGTAATTAGAACAGTAGTGCATGGATATATGACCGTGTAAAAATAAGCAACTTACCTGATATAAGAAAAGTATAAATGATAATCAAAGTTACTGAAAAGTGTTTTATAGAAAAACAAGCCATGTTAATTGGAGTGTCTTCCTCTTATGTCATACTCGATTGAGCGTTCCGGAATTTAATTCACTCAACCCCAAAAGATAGTTAGTAAGGGGGATTTGAGACTATAACGCATGCGCTGTCAGAATAAGAAAATACCTCCACCAACCATGACAGATGAAACATATTCGTTGTATTTAATACATCACGATTCTACTCACACCACCTCGGTTTTCTGGACTGACAGAACTATGACAGGGCTGAATTCCGCGTCACACGATTGCAATTCTGTCCATTCCGCACGTTGAGTACTGGCAATCGAGCAGTCCAATAGATATATTACAAATGTTATTAATTTTAACAGTTTGGGTAAACCCTTTATACCATTGGGAAAACCCTTTATACCATTGGGCAAACCCGTTATATGTCCGCCATCTTAATGTCATGATACTGACGAAGATGTATTTATGGATCATCCTAGTTTTAATAGCAGGTAATGAAGAAAATACTTTGTATAGTTGTCTTGTGAATTATATATTAGAATCAGCATGGCTCTGTGTTGATTAGGTTTGACGTTTAAACACCATTTGAATCGGGCTTGGAAATATTACGACACACGTCAGCCAATTTTCTATAATAACCACGATCACGGCTTACTCGGTCCTTCTTTGATCAATCTTTAGGATGGTTTGTTGTTTTTATTGTTTGTGAGATCAAATAGAAACTAAATGGCTTGATTTTTTATTTACGAATGATACACCTAACACAATTTGTAAACAAAAAACATAACCTATCTCATTTCGCTCCGTGTATATTTCACTTCGCCAATGCCAATGGAATAGACCCTCCCATTCCGAGACACCAAAATGTGTACGAAATTGTCATAATATAAATCACACTTTTTTTAGTTTATATGTACATATGTTAACCAGGAATGGTAAAACATGGCTGTTAGACAGATTCCTTTGGTAATGTTATTTCCTCAACCAAAGATTAGATTGATTCAGTCAGTGACATTTTTGGGGGTAGGCATGGGCGTCACACATCGGGGGGTCCGCCCCCCCCCCCAATTGTTTTTCCGGGGGGGGGGGGGGGCGGAATATACTTGGACCCCCCCCCCAAAAAAAAAATAAAAAAAAATAAATAAATTTACATAGAAGGCCCAAACTCCACTTATTTACAACAATTATTAGGATTAGTTAAGATTCTATCAGTATAAAACCTGTACAAATCCCAATATGGTTTATATTGCTAAAATAAAACACAGAGAGAATCACCCTTGAAACATGAGTATAAGATGGCGTCACGCTAAGACACGGTAAATTTCGCTGCGTGGATTATTGCTTGTTCATGAAGAAACTCTTTTAAAGAATCTACACGAAAGTTTAAAGTGATACGTGATTGGATTATACTATAAACTAATCAACTTATAATCAGTAAAAACAACAAAAACAGTGAGTTTTTTGCGATTGATTTATTATCCCCTGGTTTTGTTTACATTTTCAATGGCGTCCCCAGCAACACCGACACCAAGCAGGAAAAGACCAAGCACTATCTCACCAATAGACATGCAACGTGAAATATTATTAGCATCAAGTTTGTCCGATTCTGTCCTGAAAAGAACTAAACAAACCAATATAAAATCAATGTTTACCCAATCCGGAAATGATGTTGATAAAACATATAGACCTACATCTGAATACGAAGATGATACTTTGTCTGACATTTCGTTACAAGCTGACCTAACCAACTCTGACTTTAATAACTTCTCTGGTACTATTGACAAAGAGCAGACAAATCTTAAAGAAATCGACACATCTACTTCAGTAACTGACGAAAAAACTGCAAAAACACACCCTATAAACACTTTTTCTGAACAGGAAGATTCCATTTTTGATAAAACCGTAGAGGCACTCACTCATCAAATTGCCCTATCTTTTCACAGCAGGCAAGTTAAGGATGCTATCAGGCCTTTCATAGAACAGATGGTCCAAGAAGAGATTACAAAACAAATTGCTCCTCTCCAAAATGAAATCGAGTCCCTAAAATTACAATTAGCCACAACATCCCTCCATCTCAATGCATCTGTACAAGACAAGTGTGACGAGCTCGAACAATATAGTCGAAAAAACTGCATACGCATAAGCGGAATTAAAGAAGATTTAAATGAAAATGTTGAAGGTAAAATCATGAAAGTTCTCACCACTATTGATAACTCCCTAAGTCCAAACAACATCGAAAACTGTCATCGTCTAGGTAGAAAACAAGACAACAAGCATCGCCAAATAATTGTAAGACTTAAAAGCTACAAAACAAAAGTACATATTATGAAGAACAGGAAAATGGCTCAAACAGCAATAAAAGGCGTATATATAAATGAAGACCTGACTAGATACAGAGCATACGTAGCAAGTATTACACGCTGGTCATACAAACAGGGTTTTATTGCTGCCTGCTGGACCAGAGACGGTAAAATATTCATACGTGAAAACAGTACTGTTCCAGGAAAGAATGGCCCGACTCGTAAACTAACAAGCCCGGTTGAAGTGCCCGGTTATAAACCAACAAGTGAAGAACTAATTAATTACAATCTAACCAGTTCACTGCAAGCTCAGACCAACTCTCCATCCGCTGAAATATAGTGTAACATAGAAAATCTGTACATCATTGTTAATATCAATACCTGTGAAGATAACCCTGCCCCCTCAATAACCAACAATAATTCATAAGTGTCTACCCTTTAGAATATAAATTTCCAAAATGTTTTGCCTGTCAAATTTGCATGAAAGATCTAAAAATGAATTTATAAACTTATAGATCTGTGAATTTTGCACATTGATATTAAAGGGAAACAACTCTCTTTAATGCACCATCAATATCCCATTGAATTTTTAATATTACTTATATATATTATTATATGTATTAGCTATATTAATTTTTATGATTATGATATCTTTATTAAGCTTACTTTAGATTGAATTTTATAGCCAACAAACATTATAGTTCTTGTAATAAGTAATTGGAATTCAATAACAAACTTGCATAACCAAATATACACACCTATAGACTTTACCCATATTATATATTTGTTTGTAAATTAGCCTGTCTGTATAAAGCTGGTCTGAAATGTTCTCTGAATCTCCTGCAAAATAGTGCAAAACATAAAATCAAGTAGTTAATCATCTTTAGTAGCTTATTGCAAAGTTTGTAAATCAACTGACTATAGTAAATCAGAAATCATAATACTACACTATTTAGAGTTGTCATTTGTATTGTAAAAGACTGATAATAAGCTGGGAGTACATGTATATGATGCTGTATATGATGCTGTATATGATGTTTACGGGTTTACTGCCAGTGTTATTAACTGCTATGCATGTTATGTTAAGAGTAAGATTATAATAAAACATACTGTTTTAAGTTAGATGAAACTGATTAGAAACCAGACAAGTAGAATCCAATCGCTAATTGCTTAGTTCCGAGTAGAGCATACTTCCTTTATATTGTTTAGTTTTTATCTATATTTATAACTGACAACTCAAATTCTCAATTACTATAATATGAATCTTTAAATATCAAGATAGTTTAATATGTAAAATACTTACCCTTATTAGCCCCTGTGCTATGCATGTGCATTAACTGTCTGCAGTTTACTCATCTAAAAAAAAAAAACCCAAAAAACCCAACAATTATTGAGATTGTAAAACTTTTGAAATGATTAATTTTGCTATTACTATAACCCCAATGTTAGTTAATGGTTAAATAACACTGTAGGCCTAAAGGCTTTTATGCAGTAAAATTACCAATAACCCCATCCGTCACAGTGCAAATTGTTTTCTTAGAAGAGTGTCAATACTCAACTTTAAACATTGACCTAAACAGAGGCCTGCTTCACGAAACTTTGATTAGGACGGAATCTAAGTTTTAGTAATATGATTGGATAATTAGACCGATTTTATTGCCTAGTATTTACTAAGATTTGAATTTTATCTTTGGTTATATTTTCAAGAAGCAGTAGCCCTGAACTGTCAATGCTAGGGAACTATGTAAATAAAATTGAAGCATATGGTAATCCCAAACTTACCTAGTTTCTCTCAACAATAACAGTATCATTTTTACCTGAAATAAGAATTACTAAGTAATAACACAAATCTGTTGAACTTGAAGTGACAAGTCAGAAATATTAGAAAACAAAACACCAAATTATAAATAATGAAATGACAGTATGCTGCAAAATTGCAAAATACTCCTAAATAGCCCTTGCACGTCATCGTTAATAATGGTAATTGGTATCAAGCTTTGTAACTGTGCCAACTCTCCTAAATATGCACATTGTCCACGTACGATTAACTTTAAGCAGGTAGCTATAGGCCTACTAGGTAGTCTATGAATGAACGATTGTTATGTTACTACTAGTGTTAGTATTCAAATTTTATATATTATAAACAATGTTGGAAACTTTTGCCTTGTTGAGTAATTAACGGTTATGGGCTTGTATCAACAAACTGCACAACTCAAATTAAAACTGTTTATCAAACCAAACTACATGTGAATTTACTCACCACCTAAATTGGCCGTTATTTTCTAAACTGTATTGTGCTGTAAACACCATGCTCTCTTCCCTTGCCGAGCTCAACGTGCCAATCAAAGAAAAATCACGTGACTCTTCCATTCGCACATCAACTTTTGCTGTTTTATTATTTGTTATTTCTCCTTATCTGTGTTTTTTTTTTTTGGGGGGGGGGGGGGAGGGGGGCTTTTTGGTATGGTTTTTTTGGGGTTTTTTTTTGGGTTTTTTTTCTTTACGGATTATTTTTAATTGGTATCAGTCCTTGTTATTTTATGGGATTAATTTACTTTGTACCAATCCACGCACAGCGCCGCATCAATGCTATACCGTGATTATCGATCTTTTATTTGTAAATATGTATATAGATGTGATAACCAATATTTTTGTAAATATGCATATAAGTACTATTTAACATATCAAAATGATTTAAATCATTACCAATGTACATCATCAAATTTTTATGTGTATGTGTGTTTTCCTGTTTATAGCTTTGCTTGTTGTTTGTTATTTTTTCAATACGTCCCAAATATTATATCTATGACCCTCTTATTTTCTGGTGATATTGAAAGCAATCCTGGCCCTCCCCGCAATTTGTCTATTGTCCATCTGAATATAAGGAGTCTCCGCCACAAAGTTGATATTTTAGCAGCTGAACTATCTGAAAAATTTGATATTATTCTCCTCACTGAAACATGGCTTGATAAATCAGTAGACACCAACACATTACTACTAAGATCTTTCCACGCACCTATAAGAAACGACAGGACGTACGGACAGGGTGGGGGTATTGTGACTTACATACGGGACACGCTTTCTGTGAAAAGAAGACCTGACCTGGAAGTCGACGGTACAGAATGCATATATATGGTTACAACTAAATACTTCATACAAAACTATTTTGATAGGTACATTTTATAGACCTCCAAGTTCTACTGCCGAACAAAACAATAAAATTTTTGATTCGATTGCTAAATCAGCATGCGATAATGTCGATAACTGTTTTATATTTGGCGATTTTAATATCGATTTTATGACTTCAACTCAATCATTTTTACACAATGCAATGATACTTTTTGATTTTTCCCAAGTAATTAATACTCCAACGCGATTCGGAAATCATAATAACTCACTTATAGATTTAATTTTAACTAACTGTCCTAACTATATAAAAGAATCAGGCTGTCTAGATAATTTTTGTAGTGATCATTGTCCTGTGTACTGTCGACTTTCATTTCAGAAACCAAAATTAACATGCTACAGACGAGTTGTTTGTCACTTTAACAATATTAATACAGAGGAAATGCGACGGGACGCTACTGACACGGACTGGGAAAGCCTAATTAACACAGATTCGATTAATACAGCTTGTGTTAACTTCACAAGTGAGCTGACAAGGCTAGCAAAGAAACACATTCCGAATAAAACAGTAACTATTAGACCAAATGACCAACCATGGATGAATAATGCGATTCGAAAATTAAGTAGAAAAAAAAATAAAATACATAAAAAGGCAGTTCAAAGAAATTTAGAATCAGATTGGCATAAGTTCAGTACTATTAGAAATGAATATATAAACCTAATCAGAAATTGTAAAAATGCACAACTTCCTGCTCTAGAAAGAATACCCAACTCATTAACTACTATTACCCTCAACCAGAAGGAAGTTGAAGACATAATTACTACTATTGATCCCTCGAAAGCCAATGGTCCCGATAACATCAGTGGAAAACTAATAAAACTAATATCCAGCGAAATTTCTGAACCTCTATCTAAATCATTTAACTACTCTCTTTCGACGAAAACAGTACCGAACATCTGGAAATTTGCCAATGTAACTGCCATATTAAAAAAAGGTGACCCATCAAATTGTGGAAATTATAGACCCATATCTCTACTTAGTATCCTAGTTAAAATATTCGAAAAATGCATCTACAAAAATGTCTTCAACTTCCTAAGGGAGAATTCTGTTCTAACTAACCTCCAGAGTGGCTTTTTGCATGGTGATTCATGTGTTTACCAACTTACAGATATTGCACACTACTTTTGTCAGGCCATTGATCAGGGATTCTATACGAGAGCAGTGTTCTGTGACATCAGTAAAGCTTTTGACAGGGTCTGGCATGCTGGACTCTGTCACAAGCTTGAAGCTGCGGGGATAAGGGGAGACATCCTTCAATGGTTTCACAACTATTTAGAGGGAAGACAACAATCAGTTGTTGCTGGGGGTGTCTCTTCCACCGCAAAAACCATTCCCTCGGGAGTGCCACAGGGCTCTGTTCTCGGTCCCCTCATTTTTCTCATTTATATCAATGACGTTGTGAATGATATTTCATCAAATGTTCGACTCTTTGCTGATGATACTTCCCTCTATCTGAAAATTGATGACCCTACTGAATGCGCGAATATCCTAAACAATGACCTGAATAAAATTAACGCGTGGGCTAAAACATGGCTGGTATCCTTCAACCCACTGAAGACCGAAACACTAGCACTGACAACCAAACAAAATCCCATTTTACCTACCCTGACTCTAAATAATGTTCCCATCAAGGAAGTCCCCCATCATAAACATTTAGGCTTGACATTTCAACAAAATTGTAAATGGAACCGACACATTAATGACGTTATAGAAAAAACCAGCAAATCTGTCAATTGTTTAAGATCCCTTAAATACAGACTTAGCCGGAAATCGTTACAAACTATCTATACCTCTTTTATCTTACCCCATTTTGATTATTGCGACGTCATCTGGGACAACTGCACAGACCAACTAGCTAACAAATTAGAGCACCTACAACTGGATGCACTTAGGTCCATATGTGGTGCTGTAAAAGGTACCAGCCATAGACTGTTATATAAAGAAACCGGTTTTATTACGCTAAAAGAGAGACGCAGAAGACATAAACTCAAATTCATTTATAAAATTATAAACGGCCTTTCTCCATCCTATCTCCATGATTTAATCTTGACAAAAAGCGCACACTATAATCTCCGAAAAACAAGCCTACCTGAAAATAAATGCAAAACAAATATCTTCTATAATTCCTTCATACCATCGTCAATAAGAGAATGGAACAAATTAAGTTCGGAGACAAAAAATTCAACATCTCTAAATATTTTCAATTCGAAACTCATGGCTCAAGATCTGATACCACCTAAAACATTCTCTTTTGGAACCCGTGTAAACCAAATCATACATTCTAAACTGCGTCTCTCTTGCAGCAATCTAAACGGACATAAATTTTTACGCCATATTTCTGATAACCCATCCTGCAGATGTGGTCATCAATTTGAAGACACTGAACATTTTTATTGAATTGCTCCTTATATTCAGATGCCCGAAATAATACAATAAATAATTTACCTACTATTCACCGAAATACTACAACCCTATTGTATGGAATTGACAGCATAGAAAACTCATTCATTATTTTTAAAACTGTTCACTCGTTTTTTGAAATCACCAGACGATTCGAGGGACAATTATAACCATTCATTGTAAATATATTTTCACTTGTACATTATTTGCCTATTACTAAACTGTAAATCCATTCCAGAGACAACTATAACACACTCACTGTAAAATAACTGCACTTGTACATTGTATGTTTCTTTATGTAAATACATGTATCTATATCTGACAGGGAGAAGGGTTTAATATAGGCTATGCCTGTTCCCCAATCCCTATTCAGATAGAAATCTGAATAAAAATATTGCTTATAAAAAAAAAACTGTGTTTGTGTATTGTCTGAGACAAGATGTGAAAATAAACAAAGTATATAATCAGAATAATCTAATTAAATAAAATTGCGATCTCTACTTAACGTGTGTGATAATTAAAATAAGGTTTTAGAGAAATACAACTACTCTACGAATCAAGTTAAAACTGGAATGAATTCCTCAACATACAAATTCAGAAAGAAGTGTATTGCATAGGCTGCCAGTTTCCAAATCCCATTCAGATTTTCTCAATAACATTATTGATTGTTTTTTTTATAAAAAGAATCAGATTATTACAGATAATAAAGTAACATAATAAATGTTATCTTAAAATTCGACGTAATTAATCATATGAAAAAAAACCCACAAGATTTTGTAAATCTACACAAGGTTTGTGTTTGTGTTAATAAATAAAATAAAAGCAAGTACGAACAATCCAAACCATTAGACAAAATTCGAAGTCCTAAAAAAACGGAATAGGCAAAATAGTGTAATAAGGCAAAATAGTGTAATCAGCATATGGACTGTTCACCGTGTACAAAATACACGACAAACAGTGGTAACATGTGTCCGGAAGAGTAAGCTTACCCTGCCTGGCGCCACACCCGCCATATCTGCATCCAAACTATTAGGCGAAATCTCGGTAAAATAGCGTGATTGGCCAATAGACTATCGGTATGCAAAATGCACGTGATGAACAGTGTTAACGATGTAGTAGACAGACATAATCAGGGAGATTGTATACGCGTCAATTAAATATATCTAGAATAATAGCCGAGAGAGACATGTTATATTTACCAATCAAGTCAATATGACGCCCATAAAACTTTTTAAAGGTTTTAATAAGTTTAGTTCGCAAGTATCCCTGTAGTTGAAGCTTAGATGACAAATGCCTCGATCTACTTAAAAAATCTAAAACACCACAACCTTGTGTACAATATTTTTAACACAAGTCCTTGTGTTGAGATCCAACACAAGAGTTTTTTTCAGTGTAAGTTCATGTTCGTAAACCAGATTATCCAATGGGTGGTCTGCAACCGATTTTCTAATCTCGGTACCCACATATTGTAGTTGGTCTATATATAACAATTCTCTTCCTCTCTTTTCTCCCCATTTGCATTCCCATTTTTGTTGATTTTTTGGTCTAGAATGGACGAAGAGGGTTTGAATTTTCAACAGGTTTTGGCAGTCCGTACATTCCCTTGTTTTTATTCATTCTATACTCATTAAAAACATGGTAATGCACGAACTTTTTCTATTTTTTCTCGTTGTCTCTTATCTAGTGACAGTCAATTATTGTTGTGACATCAGATATCCTCCCACAGTCTTATATAATAACTTTTGGTCTTCGAAGGAATTATTAGTGAGCAGAAATTCGCCCGTGTATCTGTTATCACTCGTCACTTCAGTTAGTTATATAGAAGGATAACTCGTGTTTTCCGTTTGCGTTTTTCACTTCCCTTTCTTGAAATCTTAATAACGCATCTATCGTAGCAATGATCTATGTGTTAACATTATATTTGGAACATGTTTAACCAGTTCTATCACATATGTGATAATGACTGGCGCCAATATTGTCCTTTAATATCCTATGCAAAATATATTCTGAACTACTTTGCCTAGGTATTCAATACATCAGTAATTATAATTTGCTTTTAGTCTAAACAAGGAACAAGATTATTAAATAAATTATCACGTATGAAACTTAAATGTATTTCATAGATTAACGGCATCGTATATTTGACAGAGTCTATTAGCTTAATGGTACAACGGTGTACCTTGGTCATTTATAATAAATAAATTGTATCATTATATTGGGTGGATAACAACCTATAATTCTTCTAAAAAAGGCATCCAGACTTGTAAGCGAGTTGTTCGGGTCTTACAGGTCATTCGTCACAAAACTGACGATAAGGTATATAAACTCTTAAAAAACTATCAATTATTGTCTTAGATTTTGGTCTACAATTGGATAGATATCAGGTACGTACAGCAGGTCAAGATACGACTCTAAAGTCTTGACTGACACGTTTCTACATTGTAGGCAGGTTAGTTACTTTATTAACTTAATCTAACCAGTGCGATAAATCTTATTTAAGAATTTATCGGACGTGCAATTTACTGCTGTAAACGTACAAAACCTTGTATAACTGTATGTGTCTGAAGGAATTATAAAACCAACTTGGACTTTGTGAAATTATTCCGTGGAGCCAAACGAATCAATAAAAGAAAACAAGAAGATAGTCCTAGCTATAGACAAATGATCTAGCCAGAAGAACCAGTGATTTTAGATCTTTTTTACAACAGGCGGTCTAGCGGGTTTGAGAGACATCCATATTAATTTAGTCTTTCGCAAGACAGGCTAGAGACTCTCAACCTTCAATCGATGAAAGTAACCGTCACGGTTACAATGTGACCCGGAAATGTGCACAATATAAATACCCATTGTCACTATTATTTTATTCAAATAAGGCACTTTAATCCTAATTATTTTAAATTTCAGCTGTGGTTGATGCCAGAATATCGGTGTTGCCGAATGCAACGTTTGGAATTGGCGACGAATCACTCACCATCCTTTGTAATGACTTATCTGACGACGGTTTTGATACACTATATAATATACAGCTTGAAAGAGATTCTGTGGCACTGGGTTTCATTGATATGAGTGGACTGCATTTGATTTCACCAAACACATCATCTAAATATGAAATAACGGGAGAGTTTCGCGCCTCTTCACCTTCTCGGTCCTATCTACAACTGGTTATTGATAAACCCAGTGCAGAAGATCAAGGCAATTATACATGTTCATCAGTTGGTGTGCTCTCAGCGAAGATAATTACGGATACCCATCGACAATACGTCAAAAGCGAAGGTATGTATATAATTGAAGGGATCATCAGAATCAATAATAATAAAACCTGGGTAATGGTAATCACAGATAGTGAAAATTCTGTAAGTCAGGAGTTACAAAGGAATTAAGGACAACCTTGTCGCATTACGTTCAATCTGATTAAAATAGAGATTTATACTGCTTTTCGTTTTATATATTTCGAGCCCCCGACCACCGCCCCACATTAAAATACAGATCTATACTTCTTTTCGTTTTTTTTTTATATATTTCGATGGCCCCAACTACATTAATATCTGGCCGATACGAACGACCTTTAACACTATGACGTCAATCATTGACAGGACCGTAACTAGACCACACAAAAACATTATCGCCTAAACCAAATATTTATCGCCCGCTCAGCCAGCAACGTAACCATAATGCTTTTGCACGCGGTGTCCTGGTAGACAGCATGGCCACATGGTGTTTGTTTATATTTTTTAGGGGTTTTAGGAGTTAGGGTTAGGGGTTTTAAAAATGAGTTAGGGTTAGGGTTGCGGACCCCCCCCCCCCCCCAATATATATTTCACGGCTACGCCTCTGAGGGTAGGGGTACATGTTTCAGCATAGATCTCTAATATTACAATCAATACAGCTGATTTATGATTTTTCTATTTGAATTTTGTCCAAGGTTTCTAAAAGTATATTTCTTGCCAGCCCGATTATCTAAAAAGAGGAAAATTATTGGTTTTTTGAAAGATGCTTACATGTAAATTTTGTACATTTTTTATGATACAAAAATTATATTTTTGAAAAAAATTCCAGATTAAAGGGCCATCATTTTTGCAATTATTCCTTGATTTTGATTTTCTTTTACCGGCATGTTGCCAGAACACATAGGAAGCAAATACAAAGGCCTTTTGGTGATACATGACGTTCCACCCCTATATAGGACACACCTCACCTAGTATTCCTGCGCCGTCACCCACGAATGTAGGGCAAAATCTATTTTTAATCTTTCTTCCCCTTTTGCATGGCAATGTTTGTGGATTTTTGGTTTAGAATCGAAGAAAGGGTTTGAAAATTCATTTTCTACGAGGTTTTGTCGAATATTCATGATTTTGAGGCGGAAGGATACGAGAGTTGAGAGGTTGGTTAGGTTGAAATGTAATGCGGAAAATTGCATGTTTAGTAGCCTTTACATCCAGTTTGTGTATCTCAAGTTGACCATTATGAATCTCGTACGTACTTTTGAGCAAATGGTTGCCACATCTTGCTCCATATGTGGTAGAAAGCGTTCTACCCAACGAAAATTTGGGAAAAAGTTAGAGCCGGTCTAAGAGACGAGAATTAACATTAAAGTCAATGGGGAAATCATTGGGGATCTGTGGTCATCAATAGATATAAGAAACAGTTGCCCAACTATAGCTGGGATCAAAGTTCACTACTCTAAGTTCCGTTAACCATGAGTCTACGATAACGTTTAAAAATGTTCACGCACGTTACCAGGAAAGATACTTTCTAGATGGAATGTGCGCAATATAAATACCCATTGTTACTATTATTTTATTTAAAGATACATTATGGGAGATCAGATAAAGAGCTGACAGTTCTCACTATAATAGTTAAAAACTAGATAATGTAAAGGGATTTTGCTGAAAATTTCAGTCAAATTGATCCTCTCTGAACCGAAATTTTTGCGATTGAATTTTCGGCCTAGCCGCGATCATCATTACTAAAGTCGGTACTTTAAATCATGAATGGAGAGAGAGAGAGAAAAATATGGTTTAACGTCTACTCGACACAAACTAGGTCATTAATTATCACAGGCTAGCGATGACATCGAGAGTTGATTATGGTCTGAATAAGTTAATTAATGTGTAATTAATAATTTAGATAACATTTCAAGCCTAACGAAAGACCTGCAATAGACAGATTTAGCGCTTTCATAATGTATATTTAAATAAGACAACTTAATTCTAATTATTTTAAAATTTCAGTTGTGATTGAAGCCAGAATATCAGTGTTTCCAAATGAATCATTTGGAATTGGCGACGAATCACTAACCATCCTTTGTAATGTTTTATCTGAAGATGGGTTTAATAGACTCTATAATATACAGCTTGAAAGAGACACTGTGGCACTTGGTTTCATTGATGTGAGAGGACCAAACTTGACTTCAGCAAACACATCCTCTAAATATGAAATAACGGGAGACTTTTACGCCAGTTCACCTACTCGATCCTATTTACAACTGGTTATTAATAAACCCAGTGCAGACGATCAGGGCACTTATAGATGTTCATCCCTTGGTTTGCTTTCAACCGGGATAACAGATACCCATCGCCAGAACGTCACAGTAAAAGGTATATAATTGTTCGATATTGTTATTCCTTGACAATCAAAGATTGTTACAAGTCTGGATTTACACCGAAATTAAGGGCAATCTGATTAAAATGCAGATCTATTTTTTTTCCGATTTTTATATTTCTATGACCCCCACTACATTAATATTTGGCTGTATCTGGTCGATAGCAGCGACTTTTAGCCCAATGACGTCAATAATTCGATTAACCAATCAGCGTTGGTGTTCCAAGTGGCTATACGGAAATACAACTTTTGATTTGTCATTGCCTGCCCCCAGTTCCGCGCGCCACACGGTAATAACTCGAATCAACGGGCATCACCCAGAACGCTGGTTATGTAACAGCTCTAACAAATGCTGGTGTTGTCAAGACAAGTTAACCGACATTTTGAAGTATAAAATGAAAACGAAACCAAATAAGATCTGTGTCTTAATCAGGCTGTAATATGTTGCGAGTCTTACTCGACTCCAATTTTATGATTGGAGTAATTAAATATGATGTGTTAAGGGGGTTATATTTGTTTTGAATTTGCCTTAGTTAACTTACCTGTCCAAAACTAAATATTTCACCTTCGAGTCATTGATGAATTCTGTTCGGAATATTGACACACACGTTTAGAAATGATGTGAGATCGTACATGAGAACATTTTCGGAAAATCGTGGTGATTAATTAAATTATAATATAAATTTATGCTTATGCACACACTTTGCCTTGTTCTTTTCGTTTGTCAACAAAAGATACACTGCATTTAATTTTTTATTATGATTGAGTTAAAACTTCAGGAAAAATCTTCAACACCTTTTATCTTGCTCTAAATAAATCTGCATTGATATTCATTTTTATGCATATTCAGATAGTTCAGTCTCAACACGTACAAGCACAGTCTCAACAAGTACAGTCTCAACAAATACAAGTACAGTCTCAACAAGTACAAGCTCAGCAAGTTCTGTCACTGGGAGTGCTGTATTATCCGGGTGTGTTAAACATCAAACCTTTCAAATCGTTACTTTGACCGTATTCTTCATTTTTTTACAGTAATACCGAATTGACTGGATATTTAATACTTGTGGACACTCTTAGAAGTCAAAATTTTTATCCGATGTACATAAAACTTGAAATCTATGTTTATAGCCCAAAGATCTGGGTTTATTTCGATATTCGCGGATACCGGACCGCAACTTCCTGGATAATGACACCTGATTGTACGAAAAATCGCTTTTTTAGCTTGAGGTTCCTCTAGAGATCAAAATTGTACCCGATTAAAAAATAAAACGTTCAAATAAAATAAAACCAAGTACGAACAATCCAAACCATTAGACAAAATTCGAAGTCGTAAAAAACAGTATGGCAAAATAGTGTAATCAGCAAATGGGCTGTTCACCGTGTTCAAAATATACAGCTAACAGTAGTAACAGGTCACCGTTACACCCAAATAAATTCGAATTTCGTAAAATTCGGACTGAAACTGCTTGACAAAACGGCTCTTTGTACGCAAATAGTGCAAAATAATACCAATGTTGTGGACCCTCTAGAGGTCACATTTTTTATCCGATCTTGATAAAACTTAAAATATATGTTTATATCCCAACGATCATGGTTCTTGTCGACATTCGCCTTATCGGACCGTAACTTCCTGGATTATGACCCCTGATTGTACGAGAAATTGCTTCTTTTTTTAGCTTGTTCTCCGCCCATCTCTTGCAAAATATGAGCGTATCTTGCATATCAACCACTACTGATGGATTTAAAGTAAAGTTGTGTTGTAAATAGAATCTTGTTCCTCGTGAATTGACTTGACCACCTCACTTAAATTAAGAGAGGCAATTGAAAGGAGTGCACGTTACAATTCAATATACAACAATATATAGATCTATCTATCTATTGTCCTTATTTGTGATTTAATATTATTATTTATTAACTAATACATTTATCACGCTCATTGCTGAAAACAAAAGATTATTTGTTAAGACTTGCACGTCTCTGTTCTTTGGAACCTTACGTTAGTCTAAAAGCACTTATTTATGTAATATGAATGTAAATAAAGTGAATAATATTCAATGTTTAATAAAGTTATTGTAATTTATAATCATTGATGTTCGGTGAAATACGTGAACAGTCAAAATTGAACGACAGTAAGTTGTTTTTAAAAGTTTATGATTACTAATTACTTGCATCTTTTGAGATATTCTGTCTTTGTTCATTACAAATGGCGCCAGAAACCATAGAATAGACGACGCGTGTACTGTTTATAAAATGACATTGAATATTAGGATCCCATATTTTCATGGCAAGATAACATATTGAATTCTAATTCGGTTTTGCATTTCAAATATTATGGAAAGTTTTCACTTAAGAGCTTTAGCCCCTTCAATCCTAATTCTATTGAAATGAGTTTTTATGCAGTTAAATGTATTACACGTTTATGCTTGTCTGATTGTATGTGAACTTTACAAATACATGTAGTTAACCCTGTGTTAAGCTCTAGTTCCTCCTTGTAGGTTTTACGCCTCTTAGTCAAAATTTATATTATCCATAATGTTTTCATTTTTTTATGAAATCGTTTAAATATTAAATATTCAAGTATTACAAAAACACCCCGACAGACATTTCTATTGGTGGGGTACCCCCAACATAGTTATGTAATTGCCAGACCACAGCTAGACTAGATTAGCTGAAATCTGGACCACCTAAAACTGCTTTGGAGTTGCTCAGCACCACCACATGAATCATGAATGAGCACTTCCAGACAGTTTGTGTGATGGGTTACCCATAACAGACACACCCAATATGCCACGCCTCCGAAATAGGATAGGTTAGTCGAAGTCCGTGCCGCCTAAAACTGCTTGGAAGTTGAAGTCCGTACGATCTGCAATTTCTGGGACGTTGTTCAGCAACACCACAGGGATCATGAATTACCACTGCCAGACAGTTTGTTCGGTTGGGTACCAAAGACAGACAGCCCAAAATGCCACGTCCAGCAACAAGGCTACAACCATTTATATCTTCCTTTGTACATTATTGATAAAATGTAAATACATGTATCTATATCTGACAGGGAGCGGCGTTTAATATAGACCATGCCTGTTCCCCAATAACTGTACAAATCTGAATAAGAAAATTCTTTATAAAAAAAACTTTGTATTGTGGTGTACCCCTGACAGAGACGTTCAAAATGCCACAGCCTCAAACTAGGCTAGATTAGCTAAAGTGTGTACCTCCTTACACTGCTTGGAAATTGTTTAGCACCCCTGGGATCACACTGCCCATTGCTAAGGAGTTCGTGCTGGGGTTCTCCCAACAGACATGATGATTCCACCTTGGGGAAATTTAAATATTCAAGATGGCCGCCCTGAAGCATTGTCTTGTTAATTAGTGGGGTAAAATATTCTTCAGTTTCACCCCCCATAATACTTGTCCTTTCATATATATATATATATATATTTATTTAATATGTTTTTACAGTCAGGACCAGTTGCTCGTGACTCATTATACCTGCTAATAATTGTTTGATCCTTTGGCTTCATTCTTGCACTTATCTATACCAATTACAGTTTATAACCATCTATGTACATTGTTTATTTAACGGCTTGGGACAGTTGTTCATGCTTGCTGATTTTGCATCCCATTGGAGGGTTCGCACTGCTCGTGTATATATATATAGCTATTTTGTTTTCATTTTATTTATTTGTGTTATATGCTTGATAACGACTTGTGAAATCTTGTTGAAACGTCGCAGTGAAATAAACCACAGTAATTGTTATCCATAAATAGTGTGTTATTTGAGAGTGGGGTAAAATATTTGACAACTTCCCTCGGAGCTCGATTTGAAGATGGTTTCTCTAAGAATTCCGCCCACTGAATCCAATAACCTTGGGTATTCCTGACACCCTTGGGGACATTTAAATATTCAAGATGGCCGTCATGGGATATTGTCTGGTCATTTACTTTAATGTAGTGGGGTAAAATTCTTGTTGGTCAATGTTTGTCGAACTTTAGGGGGTAGTAACAAACAAACCCTTTTAATCGGGGATCAAAAGGCCCTGAAATAATGCATTTTTGCCAACGATTTTGACACCCTATTACAGTAATGCTGAGCTCGCATTTTTCATTATTTTTCCAGAAATGTGGTATATGTAGCAAACCCTATTAAATAATCATTACCGTTGATGCCACTAACCCGCAAAGGACGAGTTATTGTGTAAGACTATTGGTATAATTTTTGCTCTTTAAATTAGTGATAGCATTTATTATATTTTTATCAAATTGTTGGGTTTTATTTTGATAGAGAAGTGATCTCCCGCACTAAAATGACGGGTGGACAAGACGCTAGCTCGCTAGCCTGGAGGTCGGGTGTTCGATCCCTGCATTGGCCGAGAAAGTGATAGCATTTATTATATCTTTATCAAATTGTTGGGTTTTATTTTGATAGAGAAGTGATCTCCCGCACTAAAATGACGGGTGGACAAGACGCTAGCTCGCTAGCCTGGAGGTCGGGTGTTCGATCCCTGCATTGGCCGAGAAAGTTCATCCAGATTTTCCGGCGTGGTTCTCCCTTGTCAGTGATGCAGGACGGAGGGGCTTACAAGGAAAGCTGTCTAGTCGTTCGGATGGGACGAAAAACCGAGGTGCCGTGTACACATTGGCGTGTACGTAAAAGATCCCTTGGCAGTTGGAATTCGATATAAGAGTAGGCCGTAGTGCCGCTGTCCGGGCAAAATTTCTCTCATAGCACACTGTATGGCGTATGCCCGTCTTCATTAGCCCAGGTTAGGAGCAGAACAGTAGGACGTTAAACCCCATTCCATTTCCATTTCCATAAAAAGAGTTATAAAACCTAAACATAGTGGCCAAACGAATAGCTACTGCTGATCAGTTAGTACAGACTGGGCTAAGGGTATAAGTGAGTTTATTGATTTTAAGAAGTTAGGATCAAATATAAAAATATTGACACTAAAATGTAGAAAAACTCAGTCATTAAATGGTAAAGTGGTATATGGTGCTCCGAATCAACATATTTCTATTATTATGGCGCAGTTCTGAACAAATCTTAACCTATATTCTTAAAGGTATTTCACAAAAGAAATGTTTTGAGTCATTACAATTTACATCAAGAAGTTGAGATGGTTGAGTTTGTTTCGGGTTCAGTCCTGCACAGTTCGTAGTGTCATCTCCATTTGGTACTGTGCCAGACCAATGAAATCTTTCAGATCCGTCCAGCCATTCCCATATACCTTCGTGCTCATTATCGGTGGCACCAATATAACGGAATAAAGTTGAGGAAGACGCTAGAAGTAAAACACAAGACAGATCTACCATTGTAATATATTAATCGTGTACAAACGATACAGACAGTTATCAAAAAGACAGATCTACCATTACAAACGATATAGATATTAAAAATATGCACAATCAGTTCTTCTACATGTACTTTTTAAAGAGCACATAACTAGAGTAAGTAAAAAAGGTTGGAATTCGACTTTGGCGGAAAATTTATTTGATGTTGCCCCTTTCAAACGTGAGGCATGATAATCTTGGAGGGCACCGTTAATCAGGGCATCTAAATTGGTATGAAAGCCAGAACCTGGTAAATCAAAATATAAGTGGGACGGGCAACCAATGCTTGACAAGGTCTGTCATGGCCGACGTCTATGACGGATTGAAATAGGCCGTATGATCCCATAAACAAACGTTTAACGAAATAGCATTGCATTACACATTTCAGACTAAAAGATATATACAACTCTTACCTGGTAACGACTTTAAGTAGTCATCCAGCATCTGCAACTTGTCCATGGTATTAGCAATAAACAAATATCCACCATCTTGTTCACACTGATCCATGGCAGTCAACCAGTCTTTAAGGGTTTCTATGTACTGCTTATAACATACATTGTAAGTTTCATTGTAGATATAATCTACAGGGCAGCTATCTGTAATTTGGATAATATTTATTAACACCGTACAGGAGGTTTAAGGCAAAAATCACCTTGTGTACTTCTATATCCAACCATGTTATGGATTAAATTAATTATAACTCCCGAACACAGAATAGTGGCGGTAATTTTGAAGATATCACTTAACCTCTATATAGGAATCAGTCCAAAACTCTCCTTGTGCACTTCCTATTCCAGTCATTTTATGGATTAAATTAATTAATTACCCCCCCCCCCCCCAAAAAAAAAAAAAAAAAAAAAAACGATAACAGGATAGTGACTTTATATAATGTGGATAATATTCATTAACCTTTAATTCATATAGAAATCAGCCAGATCTGTCCTTGTGAACATCTTTATGCAACCGTTTTATGGACTAATTCACCCCCCCCCCCCCCCCCCGTGCAAACAGAATAGTGACTGTAATTTGGATAATATTTATTATTAACCCTTATGCAGGAATCAAGTTGTGGGTTCAACCCCATCCTCTTTTGACTCACCAAAGGCACATCTCCTACCCATCGTTTTATGGATTAAAATACACCTCTCTATGAGAGTGATAACTGGAATTTTATGACCAAGACATCGTTCAATACCTTTACGCCTTGACTGTGTGTCAGTCGCTTGCTTAATCCTCATCAGACACAGTACACAAAATATGTATTAAATGAGACTGGCATCGTTTAATTCCTTTATCCTTTGCCTGTTTATAACAAGGGCTGCAGTCTATGCGAGCCATGGGTTCAATCCAAGGCTTGTTAATTTTTTACCTCAAAAAACAATTACATGAGAAGGGCAGTTGTGTTTTTATCGTCAAGGCATTTTCAAATAAATTATCCGGCCAGGCGTCATAGGTTCGAGCCCAGAATTGAGGGCAATGTGTTGGATTTTAATTGCACTTGCGCGATTTTTTTTTTGAAAGGGACAATAACACTTTTGCTGGCTTGACAGCTCCAGAAAATAAAAAATAGCCTTATTCTAATTACTAGATGTGTCCTACCTGTTGTGTAAATTATCCATTAAATCCTATTTTACGTGTCCAGAGTTTTCAAAAATATTTTTAAATCCAACCCACATTTGAAAAGCTTTACGTTAGGCTTTTCAAATCATTTAGTTGAATTTTTCCAATTTTTTAAATTAGGTATGTTAAGATGAAATTTGTATCATCAATTAATTGGAATATTGTAAAATAGTACAATTTGTTGACCAGAATAAAGATTGGGACATATTATTCAGTTACAACAAGAGTGGTATTGAGCCTTTAAATAAACCAAAAAACATCCATATGTTAGTCCCGACATAACGTAGTGTTAAAGTGGGCATCCATTTCTCTCTTTCACCTTACCTGCTAAGCGCCAGTATGTAACTAAACCATCATACTGGTCAGATACTTGCCCAGCCCATGCTCGTTTGTAACATAAATAACATTCACTAATGCCGATGGTTTCTGGCTTGTAAGAAAATGAATCACAGTTTGACGTTTCCGAACACTTCTCTGCACATTCTTTAACTGATAATTCCATATATTGCTTTAAGTAAAAGCTGACGAGACGATCTTTGTATGGAATTCTCTTAAAGACATATTCAGGACAAGAGCATGTTATTTGTTCAAGAGTAAAAGTTACCAGCAAGAAAATCAACTTCTTCATGTCAAAAGATAATTCTCGTTTGATGTTACTAGAATTCTACAGATTTAGTAGCAGAACAGCGCTATGCTAATCGTTGTTATGACAACATGTTGTAAGGTTAGAAACTTTTTATATTCTAGAGAACCGAGGGTTCTAATTGTCCTTGGTTAAAAGGTTTATAATATCAATGGTTGCGACAGCAAGTACAGTGAGTAAGACGCTAGCTTGCTAGCCTGGAGGTCGAGAGTTTGACCCCGCTGTCGGCAGGACGGAGGGAATGGCAACGTTCTAGTCGTTCGGATTGGACGAAAAATCGAGGTCCTGTTTACACATTGGCGTGCACGTAAAAGATCCCTTGACAGTTTGAATTCTATATAAGAGTAGGCGGCGCTGCCGCTGCCCGGGCATAATTTGCCGGATAGCCCGTCTTCATTAACCCAGTCGAAGCATAACAGTAGGGCGTTAAACCCCATTTCATTTCATTTCATCAATCAATGGTTGCAGCTGATCACCGTGACAAAGTGTGAATATTATACGAAGATCTGACCGGTTGACATTACACAATTGATTAACCAATCAGTGTTGATGTTTCTAGTGGAATACCCACAGTTCCGTGCACCGTACGCCAAAAACTCGCCGTAACGTGAGTTATGTAACAACTCTTCCAGATTCTAGTGTAGTAAAGACAAGTAAAACGAAATTTTGAACTATAAAAACTATATCACTCAGCCGGGTGTTTCTAAAACGCGGAACGGAACGCGGAGCAGAACGGAACTGTTGAGAAAAAGTCTACCTTTTATACATTGTTTGTATAATTTGTCATCATAAACTAAATAATATTGTGTTATGTTTAAATATCATTATTTAAACTACACAGTACACGATTATAGAATTTTAAAAATAATTTGCATTATATTAAAGGAGCTAAATCGCTAATATTTGGGAACTAGATATTGACGCAAATGGGTCGCAACGCATTTAATAATGTAATATGAATGTATATAAACTGATTTACATTCAATTGTTTCCATTTTTACTCTAATTTCAAATCAGTTATTTCAAATACGTCAGAAGTCTCAATCGATAGTATTTAATGCGTATGCTCTCCAAAAAAGAGATGGCGTCACCGTTTAATATGACTCGTTGAATATGGCTAGCCTCGTTCTTCGAGTCCCTTGTTGCAAAGGGCGCTGAAACCCACTATCGTACACGATTCGTGTACCAATGGTAACATGTTTATTTTATCTTAAATAATGGATATTAGAAACCCATCTTTTAAGCGCATTCTCTATTGAGTTAGAGACTTAGCTACGTACCGGCCCAGGGTAAAATTAAGATCTCTCATTCATTATTTGTGTTTTAACGTCTACTCGACCGAAACTAGGTCATTTCGGGACTAACATATCGTTCAATTTTATTTCTATAAATCGCTTGCGCATAGGGGTCTTTAGCAGTGGGGAGAACCCGGAGAAAACAGCCGAGGGTGGACAGGCGACCCTACGCCTTGTCACGTACAACCGGGAATTTGAAACCACGCCAGTTGATCAATCACAGACCTTATGATGCAACGCGCACGCGCTAACCATTCGGCCATCCAACAAACCTTAAGAGATGGAGAAATGGGGGTTTAACGTTCATTCGATAAAAACTAGGTAATTTCTTGACTAACATATGGCTCAATTTCATTTCAACCGGAGGACGCGGAGAAAACCCCAGGTGATTGTTAGTCGGACATTTAGCCAACGTCCAAGTTTGCCTTTTGGATAAGCTTATGTCCATGGCTGTATTTCTTTCCCGAGAAATAGCTACTGTGTGGGCGTATTTCCACACTTTGTGTGGCTGTGGCTATACGTTATTGGCATTACGACTTCAGTAGGACTTATGTCACCCCCCCCCCTCCCAATCCCAACACGAATTAACTGCACATTTATCTTTTTGTAAAGCATCGAGCAAGTAAACTCTTCCATTGCCTTGGCCAATCAATGTACGTATCTATTCCTATTCTCAGCAGAAAATGGTCATCGAACTCGCCAAGGTCATCCCCTAATGAACATCTACACTAATTTTGGAGATTCGACCCCAATAAAAAGCCGAGTTGTTGAAACCACATAGTCGCACTTAATTCGAATTATCGTGTTCCCAATTGTTTATCAATCTTCTTAACAGAAGATATTCATGATCTACATTAGTATAATTCATATTTCATCATTTTCACCCTAATAGAGTCAAAGTTATCGATTTCTAAAGTCTCAACCGCTCAAATTCTTTATTTCGGCTTTGCCCTGGTGTCAAATGCTCAACAACAAACTCAGTCAAGGCATTAACATTAACAGTCTGTCTGCATCAAATATAAGGAGCGTCCATGTGTTTCAAACCTTCTACCACTTAAATTGCTTATCACATTGCGTAGTCGTCAAGGCATTCGCTTATTAGACACATGTTCCAGTTTTAAACAATCTGACTCAATTAGAACCAGGATTTTTTGTACCAAAGACTTAACAGACAGAGGGGCAAACCCCTCAAAATAAGAAACATACTCGAAAGACTGGGGGCAATTTAAAAAAATAGTAGCAATGTCGAATGTTTGTTTTTCAAAAGCCTGACATTCCTCAAACCATGTTTAACATTTCAATTTAATTGGAGGCGTTTGAATAACAGAAATATGTAGTGTATCTTATTTCTATGGTTACATCAATACATCATGAATGATTTAATATTTCCTTTTGACTATGTGGCTTAATGCTTTCTTTTGTCAGCCCAGGACGTGGAATGGATGAATAACAATAAACGTTAATACAATAATATACACTTTTAAATAATCAATTAATAGAAAGAATAATTCAATTTTAACCATTAAAGACGAAATCCCTGAGTTGATTTCATACAAATCGGGTGTAGTATGGATAACAAGGAACCACAGTGGCTCAGTTAGTCAGACGTTTGATCACAATCTGGAAGGTCGCGGTTTCGATCTCAGATAAGTCATATAAAAGAATCCATGATAATTGCCTGAGCACAATTTCCCCCATAGAGCACTGTATGTCGGTTTCAATCTCAGACAGGTCACGTCTTCATTAGCCCTGTTGGTGTACAGAAATAGAACGTTAAACTCCATTTCAAATATCTCGTGGTTAAAAAAGAACACCACAGACCAAAAATACTAATCAAAATTACATTCTACAGACTTTGTCGAACTTCTGTCATTTTTTTTTTTTTTACAAGTCCATGAAAAATCTAGACAAAAGCCCCCAAACCTTGCCATAAATGGTTAACCTTGTGAGACAATGCTCGATCTCTCCAAATTTGTTATGTGTGTGATATTGCAAAGAAATACTATGTATTGATAATATGAGAAGATTTCTATTGTACATACAATTAGATTATTTTTTTTAAATAATCGTCATTGATTGAAATCGTCATTGATTTTTTTGTATGTGTCGTTTTATTAGTTGAACACAAGTGCGTGTTGTGTTGAAGTTGAACACGCGATTTTTTTTTCGGTGTAACAATAAAGATTTACAGTACGTAAAACTCAAATAAAATCGCTACTGAAAGGCATATATAATCTGAAGCCTTAAAGGGGGGGGGGAGTAACGAGAGAGGATTAACTTTCACTCGACGCAAGCTCTGTCATTTCGGGACTAAAATGGTTCAGTTTCATATGCCGGGTAGCATAGGGAGGAGGGTGGGGAACCAGAGAAACCCCACGCGATTGACAGACGACGCTACCCCCTTGTCAGTACACGTGTGGGCTCGAAACCCCACCACTTGACTCAATGACAGACCTTATGATCTAAAGCGCACGCGTTACACTATTCGGTCAATTGGCAACTGTGATATAGTCATTAAGTTTAATCAATATCCTTTTATTGTGTTTACGAGAATATATTATTCTGTGTTTGGTTTTAATAACTTTTTATACATTATACATCTGATATAATATTGATCATGGCTCCCTTCCTTCAGGTGGTTTACACAGGACTAGAATAAACCTTTTTAAGAGTCCTTTAAACAAATTTAATCAGTTACATCCATTAAAATACGTCGCCGTGTCTCCTTCACTTAAAAACATATCTAACAGATCAAAAGCAAACAAAAGGAATTATCCACACGACATCAGCTTCAGGCCACTAGAAAAATCGATGTAATTTCAGGCTATTTATATTAATTAAATGTGAATATAATCAATAAGTTTTATTTATATTTACAAATGCTGGGTTTTGATAATCTTAAAAATCAAGCAAAACAGGGTTTAACGTCCTACTTTTCTGCAAAATCGTGCTAATGAAGACAGGCATACACCATACCGTGTGCTATGAGAGAATTTATGCCCAACCAGCGATGATTTGTGGGGCCTCGGACGTTTCTTAAGGTCTAACATAAACAGCGACTAAAGATGACTGTTGACCAAGATAAATCTCTTTTCGATTTCTAACATTATTGACAATAGGGGTATGAACGAAATCCACCAGCGATTCATATAACACGTAAGAATATTATAAGGACCATTAGGTGCAGAAAAGTATAGTTAAAACCCAGATCATATCATTTTGTTACGAAACGTCCCAGGGGATCACGTGGCTAAGTGGGTAAGACGCTGGCTCGCTAGCCTGGTGGTCGGGTGTTCGATCCCTGCATTAGCTGAGACAGTTCATCCAGATTTCCCGGCGTGGTTTCCCCTTGTCAGTGATACAGGACGGAGGGCCTGACAAGGACAGCTGTCTAGTCGTTCGGATGGGACGAAAAACCGAGGTCCCGTGTACATATTGGCGTGCACGTAAATGATCCCTTGGCAGTTGGAATTCGATATAAGAGTAGGCCGTAGCGCCGCTGCCCGGGCAAAATTTCCCTCATAGCACTCTGTATGGCGTATGCCCGTCTTCATTAGTCCAGTTTAGGAGCAGAACAGTAGGACGTTACACCCCATTTCATTTCATTTCACGAAACGTCCACAGAAAGGATATACGAGCACTGTTAAATTGTAATGATATCACACGCTCACCGTACAAATATTTATTTAGCGATAAGGCCTGTCACAGAAAAATACTGAACGCACGTCGACATTTTATCAACAATAATGGCTGCGACAACGTGCATATGGTTTGGTGTAATCACTGATGTTATAACCGGTTTATGGGTCTATTTGGGGCGAGAGCTTCCCTTTAAGACCCTGTCGTATGCCATGTTCTTTCCCACCATTATTGCCTTCCTATTCGTAGACAATATCTTCGATTTTGTTATCCGGGTTAGTGGAGTGGAACAGGTATGTACTATATATTGATAGTTTATATTATGATAGTGTTAAATATTAATAAAGCTATTAATACTCTTCGGAATTAAATCCAGTATCGCATTTCATGTCTCAATTTAATACGGATTCGTGATGTTTCGTATTCTGTCACGTATGGTCAGCACACTACGGAAGGCCGACAGCGTCATTAATGATTATGCAAGACACAGCCTCACAATATTTGAAACAATATGTAAGCATGATCGTCTCCTCCCCGAGTATGTATTCAATGAGAAAGTGGTATATATAAAGCTGATCCCTTTTCTACACCAACCGGCTGGTGAATACAGGCATATGCCAACCAGTGTCCAGCTACCAGGGGTTCTTTTACGTGCACGGCAACATGTGCACTTGATGTTTTTTTCGCTCTATTCGAAACGACTAGGTACTGATTCCTAATAGACCCTTCACCAATGATAAGGGGAAGTCATGTCGACAAATCCAGAGTTACTATCTCGGGACAACACCGAGACCTCCTGTTACAATAAAATGTAATCATTTACTTACAGACAAAGGAGTATGAAATGTAGTTTTTAATATATATCTTAGTTTTTATACTTAACTCAAATAAAACGCAACTCGGTGTCGACATCCTTGGTAAAGGAAACATGTTATCTCTCAGTCGTGAGTATAGTCCGGCGGCCGTTTACGAAATAACAGGGGGGCCCAAACTTTTCGAGATAAGTTTTTTTCTCGACGGTTTTATATGGAATCGGACCCGCTGAATCCATTTTTCGCTACTAGATCACTGTCAGTCTGGAGGGTTTTGAGTAATTAGCGAATTACTAATTAAATAACTAATTAAAATCCCATTCGTTTAAAATGACACATACATGTCGAAATACTCCGCTGTTTGTAATGTTTTTAAATAGAATAGGACCCCTGAGTCTATTTTAGATACTAGTTCACTTTCAGCCATATTTTATTTTGAATAATTAGCTAATTAATAAATAAATAATTAATTAAAATCCTAATTATTGAAAATAACACATATGTCGTGATATAAGATTATATGGTAATGGTTTTATATAAAATCGGACCCGCTGAATCCATTTTCGTTACTGGATCACTGTCAGTCTGGAGGATTTTGATTAATCAGCTTTAATTATTAATTAACTAATTAACAAATATGTCGTTTATAATACTAAAACTGAAACACACGTCGTTATATATCAAAAACTTTCAATATCGAAATAACCAATTCAACAAAGTAATATGAAAGACATACCTTGCGTAATCTTCTTTAACCGCGAATTATTAATGACAAGGTTGTTTAATTCGTGATTTCGTCATTCATGGTGCGACTTACTGAGTCTCAGTGCAAGCATTAAGTTCTGCATAGGCTCTAAAGGCAGCGTATTAAAAAATTAACATTAAATGCTACATCAACTTCACGCTATTGCTTGGGACTATTCATTCACTATCTAGGTCTATATCGGCATCAAAGTCATCATGAATGTCATCTTTTTCGTCATCCTGTCCGTGCTGTGTGTGTGGATTTTCACAATTCGCCGATGTCAGACATCCACAGACGCCCATAACACCTGGCAATAAACTCGACACTTTCATTGACTACAGACTCCCCAGCTTCAGCCGCCGGACTAAGATTATTGGCATGCAAGGTGTTACATCTATGACAGATGCTAGAGTACAAGTTTGGAAGACCAAAATGGGAAAAACCAAGAGATCAGCAGTAAGTTCACCGGCTCTGAAATCACTACCGCCATCACAGGAGACCTTTATTGAAAACGTTAAAAGGTCTCACTTTCAGTGCTGCTTATGGAAGGCATCTTTAGACTCGAACGCTCCAGATCTTTATCCCTGTCTTTTCGGTTGGACAAGAGACGAACTTAACAAGACCTTAGTACCTCTACCTGTCATCGATTCTGTAAAACTTGCTCCAGGCGCTGTGCTACAGGTAATCAGTTGTGGTTGTGCCAGTGAAACGCCTTGCAAAACGAACCGATGTAGTTGTACAAACCCAAATCTTGGTTGCACTATGTTCGTTTATGATATATAACGACGCGTGTTTCAGTTTTAGTATTATAAACGACATATTTGTTAATTAGTTAATTAATAATTAAAGCTAATTAATCAAAATCCTCCAGACTGACAGTGATCCTGTAGCGAAAAATGGATTCAGCGGGTCCGATTTTATATAAAACCATTACCATATAATCTTATATCACGACATATGTGTTATTTTCAATAATTAGGATTTTAATTAATTATTTATTTATTAATTAGCTAATTATTCGAAATAAAATCTGGCTGATAGTGAACTAGTATCTAAAATAGACTCAGGGGTCCTATTCTTTTTAAAAACATTACAAACAGCGGAGTATTTCGACATGTATGTGTCCTTTTAAACGAATGGGATTTTAATTAGTTATTTAATTAGTAATTCGCTAATTACTCAAAACCCTCCAGACTGACAGTGATTCAGTAGCGAAAAATGGATTCAGCGGGTCCGATTCCATATAAAACCGTCGAGAAAAAAACTTATCTCGAAAAATTTGGGTCCCCAGCTTCGGCCGCCGGACGCACATCTTGCTAGCCATGGGTGCGATATACACGTTTAAATGTTTAGTTGATTAGGCGTACCTCATTGTATTTAACGAACGTTCGTAAAATACCCCCTATTCAAAGTGGATTTTCGATAACTGAGTTAATTGAAATATTATTCAAAACCAATTCCTTATAATTATAATGTTTGTTTACATTTTAGAGTAATTTTAAACATCACATTTTCTATTAAACGAAATTAGAGAATACGGGAATTTTCCCATGCAACGACCAGGCTGATTCATTTCCGTATAACACGATCAAAAACTGTTGATTAATCCCAGTTTGTTTCAAATCGTCGTGTCGTATTGTTTAGTGCACGTTTCTAAATAATTGAAATTTAACTTCATAAGATGTTGATTAATAATATTATTTCAGATCGGTGTCTCGTTGTTGTACGGGTTTCTGGCTGGACCTATTTCTGTCGGTATAGTAGGCATCTGTGCGACTGCCGTAGTATTCCTGGGCTGGGGTGTTAGAAGTAAGTGTACCAAATTGATCAAAATCCACGATATTCGTTCTTTTGAATGCATTAAGAAAAACGTTAAAGTATTATGTTTATTTTTCTGCAAAATATCAGAAATAAACAAAACGTAAATGAATCATATTTATATTTACAATAATAAATGGTAAAATTTCTAAATTAAAGCATTTAATATCCACTTATTTAGTTTACTGGAATTTTTTTTTATCTCAAATGGGCCAGTGACTTTCCAAATAGCCATTGTTGTAGGCCTATATTCAGTTTGTTTGCGATGCTGCTTTCAAATCTCTAATGGTTAGGATTTAATGATTTGTAAACGACAGATACTTGTAAGCAAGAGAAACATAATAATGTCTTTGTTTCAGCTGCTTTTAAGCAAGAGGAACATAATAATGTATTTGTTTCAGCAAAATTTAAGCAAGGGGAACATAATAATGTATTTCTTTCAGCTAATTTTAAACAAGAGGGGCATAATAATGTATTTGCTCCAGCATTTATGCGAGCTGCTGGAGAAGAAATAGGCTGGCGATGTTTTATGTTACCCTGTCTGATGTCTTATTACTCACCAGGGGTCGCCTTACTGATATCGTATGTATTCTTGATTTTATGTTAATTTATAAACAAAACAAACTAGAACTGCAATGCAGTGATGACGGGTTTCACCCGTACCATTGAAACCGTTAAACAGATTAGCTAACCAACGTCTTACTCACTGAACCACCGCGACTCTCCGTGGAATTTGGACGCAAAGAGCCAATTTCAATCAATTTTATGCTCTAACCTATATGTGGGACTCCTTCTTTAAATACACCATTTTGATTTATGCAGTGCTGTTAAAGTAATTTGTTTTACTTTATATTTTCAGAGGGATAATTTGGGGCTTTTTTCATGTACCAGTTTTAATACTTCTAACCGGTAAAATGCAACCACCTAAACCTTATATAACAGTATTAGTACAATGTATAGCATGTGTATTATCAGCTTTCCCACATGGATGGATAGCTATTAAATCAGGGTACGTAAGTACAATAAGAGTAACCAATTGATCTGATACAATAATTGACTGCAGTTGTTAGTAGGTATTAAGATACGTATACATTACAGAAGCTAGATAAAGGGGGTGTGATAACACGGCTGCGACATGAGATTAGTGTTTTTGCGCCCCTCTCAAATAGAAGATGTCAGCAGGGCAAAATGGCGTATGCTCGTCTTCATTATCGCATTCGGAGCACAACATTAAGGTTAAGTCCCATTTCATTAGATTTATATCTGACTGAATTTACAGGATCTATTCTTCTAAAGTATGTAATATTTGCAGGATTTATTTTTATGGAGTATATAATATTTCGATTATAATATTTCCAGATATTCTCTGTGGGCTAGTACTATGATGCATGCAGCATGGAATAGATTCAACCCGGCCGTATTAGGCAGTATATATACCCAGCAACCAGGTTACATTGAAGGAGATCAGTGGTTAATAAACGGTGAAGGATTGATTGGATGTATTGTTATGTTGCCTGTAGCTGCTTTTACTCTATGGGATCTGAGTTCTTATTAAATTAGACATAACAATTTGCGCGTGTCAATTCATGTTCAGAGTTTGGATGATGTTCTCGGAATAAATGGATAATATATAATGATACATGGCTGTTCTTTTAAATAATCCAATCTGTTGTGGCTGTGAAATAATGCACTGGTGTTTACGTAACCAGCGAACACATCATCTACATGTATATGATTTTGAGACCATTTGGATAAGTTTGTTTACTATAATGACGTGTATAATCATGGAGACGACAATTCTCCTGGAGAATAATTTCAATTCAACCTCAAATTAGCTAGACATACATCTTCTAGCCTTGTGGGTATGACACCTAACACTTGCGAAATTGCCCTGGAAATTCTGTTTCGACTTCCACAACTATTCTCTTCGCCTTGGATCATTAGAGAGATGGGATGGGAGTGGGGGATTTAGCATCCAGAAAATTAAAAGTACGTGATTTTGGAAGTAATTTAAAATATATCGCTATGTCAATAAATTCGTGGGGGTCTTAGAAGCACCTGTCACCTATGACATGTCCGGTGGGTGATAAGGGACATGAAAAATAATATGATTTGGGTTTTTTAATATTCACCCAAGTCAATTTTAATATAATTTGTTTTGTATAATTTTCACCCAAGTCAATTTTAATATAATTTTTTTTTTGTAATTTTCACCCAGGTCAATTTTAATATAATTTGTTTTTTTTATAATTTTCACCCAAGTCAATTTTAATTTCCACCCAAGTCATTTGTAATTTAATTTGTTTTTTATAATTTTCACCCAAGTCAATTTTAATTTCCACCAAGTCAATTTTAATTTTCACCCAAGACATTTGTAATATAATTTCAATTCTGTTGAATTTTCACCCAGCGCGTGATGTCAATCTCAATTAGCCTCGTTTCCAAAACACTAATTTTCGCCCGCCATTGGGAAAACAACCGTGCAGGGGTCGACACAATCTTAGTCGGGATCTGACAGTGATACGTATTGAAATAAAATGAAATGGGGGTTTAACGTCCTATTCCGACTGGGTTACTGAATACAGTATGCCAGAAGGGAAATTTTCCTTTGTCAGCGGCACGACGTGTAATTTCAACTTCAAGAGTTATTTTACATGCTCGCCAATGTACTAGGGGCCTGGATATGGATATAAGCACCCATCATAGACAACGCTACCGAACATCCAGACATAGAATTTAGCGCAGTTTGTTGGAAAAAGACAACAAAAAGCAACTTGGCCTATGTGCACTAATGAATGATGGGTCACACGCATGGATCTTGACCTTACTACTGGAAACAAACACAGATAGCTTTGCCGTGAAGTCAAAGGTCCTCTTTTCTTACAGGACACAGAGGGTCTCTTTTCTTGGACTTGGGGCACTTCAACTGGATTTGGTGTTTCCTTTCAGTTTAATTTTTGGATATTTTCAAAAAAAAAGTTTATTACACTTTCCAATATAGGCCTATTTATATAGTAAATCTCCCCAGCGAGGTTCTCGCAAGATACTTGAATCGATATTTTGGTGCGTAACATCCACTCAACACAAATTAGGTTATTTCAGGACTATAACTCATTCATTTAAATAGTCAGTTTGTATGAAGTGGTCTTTAGTAATGAAAGGAAACTGGAGTACTGGACGAACAACCCTACTCCTTGCCAGGAGTATAAAAATATCTATTTGATATAAGGTAAAACATAATACATTGCAATCTGCTAATTACAGTATGAGAACCATATAAGATAAAACATAATACATTACATTGGAAACGCGGCTAATTGAGATGACGTCACGCGCTGGTTGGAAATTCAACAGAATTGAAATTATATTACAAATGACTTGGGTGAAAATTAAAATTGACTTGGGTGAAAATTATAAAAAACAAACTATATTATTTTTCATGTCCCTTATCAGTCACCGTAGACATGGCATCAATGATCAAGGAACATGTTCAATGGCAACAACGTATTTAGATCATAGACTTCAGTTTAATGTACACTTATTTTACATCAATAAGCTTCGAACATGTTCGTTTATAACATTTTCACTTTTTGTATTTTCAAAATTGCATATTGTTACGTTTGTCTTGAATTATATACAAATACAATCTCACTGTAGAGGAGAGTCATCCAAGCTGTATAAAAGTATAACTTTCATGGATTGGGTAATAATTCATACTAATTATCTGTGAAGTGAAGTATTCTAGGATTTAGCAACTCGTCCGTTGTCCTAAGAGCTTGTACCACACTGCGGTATAACTGCTGTCGATAAGGCGGGAACTGTAAGAAATATAACAAAAACGACTTCAAATTGCTATTTAATACAATAAAGTTATGTGAACCAATATATCGTAGTACAGTTAGCAGTTGTGGAATGATAAAGACAGTCGACGTCCACCCCCAATTACAGTTCTTCGCTGGAATTAACCGGAGTTTCCACAGCCTAATTAGTCATACATCTTGTCTTAATATGTTCTTTGTTGGTAGGCGAGCCGTGCTAGTTCAGTGATAAAAAAGTATTGGCTTTCTAAATGGGATGTTCCGGGTTCGAACCCGGTGTTGGCCCAGAAAGTTCCTCAGGCCAAAATTTCCCCCATTGCACACTAGATGGTACACTGAGTGCCGTATGTTCGTCTTCATTAGCCCGGTTTATAGTTCGCGTCTTGCTATTAATTGTAGTGAAAGGTTTACTTATCGAAACACGTCTAAAAAGTACATTGTATCCTTAGCTATAGAAACAATTATCTGGGAAGGTGTAAACGTGCATGTCCTGTCGGCAATGTCAATCACCTTCCTAATCATTAAACTTTTTTTTTTCTTTTAAAATTTAGCTCCGGTAGTCCTTGGGGACAAGTAACTTTAAAATACATGAAAACCAAATGACTTACTAGCAGTTAAATCTCGATCTAATTTAATAGCACCATCAGGAAAACACCCACCACAATATCCATCGCCCTGACCTACAAATCTGACGTTCGATAGCTCTATTATATCACATAAACTCTGCCAACCACCCAGCTTCCAGTTGGTCTATAATAAAATGGAAGGGAGATAATCTAACCATATTAGACCACCATTAAATTCACCATTTAATGTTAATGCTGACCACTTGTTCCGACTGAACGCAGATGAGGCAACAACTGGGCATGTCTTTGCTCCAAAGTTTGTATCGGATTGAACAGTGACATTTTCATATCAAAACCTATCAGGAAATGTCAATTCAAGCCCTCTCTTCGCTAATCGACCCAAAAGTCAACATACATGGTCATACAATGGGAGAGATAAAGCGGGTAGAAAGACGATTAATAGTAGGAACTGTATTTGATGGTGGTCTGAATTCTGAAACACTATGATTGGTAATTTTATATGGCATTAAAGCTTGCTGGGTATTATATAATGAAGATCCAGACATGTGAATGTAATGGCGAATAACTCGATCTATGACAAATATCTTATATTGAACAGATTACTGGATAGTATTGAAATTTATCACAAATATAATCTCTTTCCAAAAGGATAACTTCTGTTAGACCGCCGACCTATTTGTAGGCGAAGTAAGATAGGCGTGGAAAATTGTGTACATGGAAGGGACGATATACTAACCAACGTGGAAGCAGTGTCAAGGTGGAAAAGGGTAACCAAATAGCTTTAATGAGGCGTGGTGAATGTTAAACAAAGTGAAAGGGGCAATAACGATGTGCTGTATACGTATCAGCATAGACGAGGTGTGGTTTATTAATTTTCAAAATGGAGAAGCCCTGTTTAAAAATGAATAAATGTGTAAGAATTGTGGTTAATATTTATCATCGTGGATGAGGCGTGGTTAATACTTTACGTGGAAGAGGCGTGATTAAATATGAATAAATATGGTGGCGCATTGTAATTACTGTTATAGTGTATCTTATTACTATTTAATTTAGTCAAAATAGCAATTGACCAATGTCCAAATTGATATCTCACTAATCTTTCAAGTATTTTAACTGTTTGAATTTATACTTAATGTAACGATATATATTACGTAACACGCGCTGTGGCTATGTCCATATTATAATATTCTCTCTTTAAACATCTGTTTCTTATGTGCAATTTAATATTTCTTGTGGAATATTATTATATAGTTAGTTACCATCCCACAATATAGAAGTATGACATTGCTAATAGAATGTGAAAGAATTATACTAACCAATGGGTTGAATTTGAATCCAGTTTCCGTGACATCCACCAAAGCATATCCTTGTTTAGGGCATGTGTCATAACTGGCAATATTAGAGCAAGCCTCTGCATGACCAAATGGTTGGTGTATTCCATTTACCTGTGTTGTAAACGTGTAATCATCCGTTGTGACTTCTGTGGTCTGTTATATAAGAAACGTAAAACGGTTGAATCATTTTATAAAATTGAAAGCTACACGAGATCATGAATTTTGTACATATCAGATAATGCACACGCAGTAGAGCGTATTTGGTCGAGACCAACGCCCAACTTAAACGGGGCGGGGCCCTGACCCACACTACAATCGCGGGGTCCGTACCGCTACGAAAGGATAATTTTATATACTTTCAAATGGAACCGCGGGATCCTAGGTCTGGGCCCATTTGGCTCATGCCTAGGCTGGGCTTTGGTCGAAACAGATAAACATGCCAGCACATGTTATTTAGTAGTACCAAAGAAAATATAATCTGTACCGGGTAAATATTACAAAACCGCTACACTTGATAAATTTCACACTAAGCTAGGCATGCCTCACTATTATTTTTCTATCGACTGGGCTATGAAGACGGGCATGAAGGAAATTTTGCCCGGACAGCTGGGCTACAGCCTACTTTTATATCGAATTCCAACACGAGATCTCATCTTTTTTTGTCCCATCCGAACAACTATACGGTGTCCATTGTCAGACCATCTGGCAATGGGGGCACCACACCGGAAAAATCCCGATGAACTTATCGGCCAACACCGGATCGAACACAGGACCTGCATGTTAGCGAGCTTGCCACGTCTTACTCACTCTGCCACCTTGACCCCTTCATTTTTATACGCCCACATTTTCATGTGGACGTATTGTCGTCACCGCTATCCATCCGTCCGCCCGTCCGTATGTCCGTTCACATTTTGTTTGTGGACACTCTACATGTCACAATTTTTATCCGATTTTGGTGATAGGTTTATTTCCCAAAGATCTCGGTTTCTTTCGATATTTACGCATATCAAACCGCAACTTCGTAACTTAAAACTCCCCTGATCATTGCACTTGATCGTAAAAAAATTCATGTTTTAATCTTGTGGCCACTCTAGAGGTCACAATGTTTATCCGATTTTGACGAAACTTGAAATATAGGTTTATATCCCAAAGATCTTAGTTTCTTTCGATATTTGCGCATATTGGAACGTAATTTCGTAACTTAAAACTTCCCGGATTATTGCCCTTGACCGTACAAAAATTCATGTTTTTAGCTTGTGGCCACTCTAGAAGTAACAATTTTTATCCGATTTAAAATAATTCATCCGAATATATGACCGTTACACCAAAATGACAGTTGAGTTCGAATTTCGTGAAAATCGGATCGAATCCGCCGGACAAAATGTACGCAAACAGTGTTAAAGTATGTAATATCAAGGTTGTGGAACCTCTAAACGTCACAATTTTTATCCGATTTTGATGTAACTTAACACATATCAGATTGTACGAAAAGTAACAGTTTTAGATTTTAAAAACCGGTTAAATATATCACCGTTACACCATAATGAAGGTTGAGTTCAAATGTCGGGAAAATCGAAACGAAACTGCCCCCAAAAATATCCGCTCCTTATACGCAAATTGTGTAAAAGTATATAATGCGAAGGTGGTGGATCCTCTAGAGGTCACAATTTTTGTCCGATTTTGATGAAACTTAAAATATATCTTTATACCCCAAAGATCTCAGCCCCTTCCGATATTCTGGCATTTCAGACCTTAACATCCTGGATTATGACCCTGATTGTAAGAAAAATCATGTTTTTGTTTTAGCTTGTTCTCTATCCATCTCTTGTAAAATATGGGCGTATCTTGCCTGGAAACCGCTGGTTCTGTTACGATGCTGACGTATTGGTCAATTATGTAAAACAATCGCGAATTATATTTCTAAGGTATACATTCACACAACTGATCGAATGTTCTACCAGTCTTTTCTCAACAATTGGAAAACTGAAAATTATTTTCTTAAATTGGGGTTTAACGTCCAATTGTTCTGCTCCTACTAGGCTAATGAAGACGGTCATACGCCAAATAGTGTGCTATAAGGGAAATCTTGTCCGGACAGTGGCGCTACGGCCAAGGGATCTTTTAAGTGCACGCTAATGTATACACGGTGCACCACTGACAAGGAGGAACCACACCGAAACATCCTGATGAACTTTCTCGGGATCGAATATGGGACCTCCGGGTTAGTGAGCCAACGTCTTACTCACTGAGCACCTTGCCCCCCCCCCCCCCCCCGTACTAATATAATGCGGCATGTCTTTATTTCGATCACTCACTTACAAGAAGGGTCTTGGCAATTGCAGGAAACCGGAGAACACAAAGAAAAGCTCCGAAAATAATACCTCTTGCCACGTATGGATCTGGCATCGAAACCACAGAACTCAATCTGATTAAAACACAGATCCTATTTCATTTCGTTCTTTTTTTGTTCAAAATTTCGTTTTACTTGTGTTTACTACACTAGGATCTGGAAGAGTTGTTATTTAACCTGCGTTCTGGTAGATTGAGGTATAAGCCAATGAAACGGTCTGTTCTGGCGAGTTCTTGCACGGAAATGTGGGTACCCTACTCGATACATCAGCGCTGATTGGTTAATCGAATGTTTGGTGTAATAGGGTAAAAAGTCACTTGCGACCTCCCATGTAGTGGAGGCCATCGAACGTATAAGAAACGAAACGAAATATAGATCAGCATTTTAATCAGATTGCGCAGCACTTGACCCAATGAAAAACTTGTGATCTAAAGCGCAAGCGTTAGACCACCTGTCCGTTTGTAAAAAAAATCTATACCTTTATATTAATTCTGATTTTATTAAAATTTGTTTCTCCCCATCGGTCACCGAAAGTTGAAATAGAACATGATGATGTGTATTCTCCTTCTGGGTAACTGGCTACATTTATCTTGGGTAGAGTAATGTATTCGCTGGGCTGTGAAGATGATAAACCATGACAATATATTTTTACTCTACTGTTGTTATATATATCAGGATATAACCAATATTCACCGTCAACATAAGATGGGTTACATTTCTGTATATCTCCACATGATGATACAACTATAATATAAAGCATTATGTATTTTCACATCATGATATAACTATAATATAAAACATTATATATCTTCAAATGAGGATATAACTACAATATAAAACATTATATCTTCACATGATGAAACAACTATAATATAAACATTATCATATCGTCACATACAACTATACATGTATATTATACGACATTATATATCGTCACATGATGATATAACTATAATATAACCAGATCGTCACGTGGTGATATATTATACACGTAAACCATGCTATATCCACCATGATATGACACAGTTGTAATGTATCTCTGAAATAGCAAAATAGTCAGGCAGCTTGGGACAAAAGCGCCAAATTTTCCATAGAGGCTACCTACTAAATTAGCTTTTCATTTCTGATAGACACCACTTCCTCCAAATATGGTGTGGCGGCCATCTTGGTTTTAAGATTTCCACAATAATATATCTTAACGTCTCGCCTTAGGATCGCAATCCCGGTGTCTTAACCTAGATTTTCAGGGACAAGGAATACAATTATAACATCTACAAACGCGGATCAGATTCCTTTTTTGACAATTTCGTATTAAGATAAACAATGAAAGACAACTCGACTTTACCAGAGCAATTTAACTGTAAGGGTGTCCAGGATTGGGTTGATGTTTCACAATATGAGAAGGGTTCTGTATTGGTTGTAAAATAGGCACTTGGACATATGTAATTGGCTCTATAGATTCCACTAGTTTCTACCGTTACTGAGTTAAATACAGCTAAATCGAAAGTAGGCACCGGACCACATATTGGTGCTGAAATACAATAAAAAGCACAGGGAGAAAATTTAAATGATGAAAGTGTAAAGAACAGTATTTGCTATTGAATTTTTCAAATAAATGAAAAGTTGTATTTTTTTTCTGGGTGTCAGCGTGTTATCTTCTCGACACCCGTGCAGTACAGGGGCCATGGAAAGGAATGGGATCTAATAGTTTAGTTCGCACAGCACGAAACTGCCCCCCCCCCCCCGTATACATGTACCATTAGCAGAACGTGTTAAACGACACCCTTACAATTAATAATCGAAATAAGTTTTCCAGGCATACTTTCCTTTATAACATGCATTAGCCGCTGTTAGTGCAGAAACGCAGGACGTTAAAGGACAATATTGGTGTCAGTCATTATTACATATGAGATAGAACTGGTTAAATACATTCCAAATATAATTTTAACACAGAGGTCATTGCTACGGGAGATGTGTAACAAGCACGTGTAGAAACAGGAAGTGACGCCAAACATGACAAACACGAGTTGTCCTTCTATATAACAGACTGAAGTAACGAGCGGTAACAGACAAACGATCGAATTTCATTTCACTGATAATTCCGTTGAAGTTGAAAAGTTATTATATGGAACGGTGAGAGTGTATCTCACAATTCAAAAAATATAATTGGCTGTCACTGGATAAGAAAAATCCCATGCATTCCCCCGTTTTTATTCATTCTGTTCTTAATAAAAACATGGTAATGCACGGACTTTTTCTAATTTGTTCGTTATCTTTTATCTACTGACAGCCAATTCTTTTTTTTGAATTGTCAGATATCCTCTCATCGTCTCATACAACAACTTTTCATCTTCAACTGAATTATCAGTGAAATGAAATTCGATCGATTCCCCAGTTGTACGTGACAAGGAGTAGGGTTTTCTCCGAGGTCCCCCGATTTGCTCCCACTGCTAAAGACCCCTACGCGCAAGCGACTTAATGAAAATAAAAGTTATTAAACTGAATTTACCTTCTTTAACCGAATACTGAAATCCATCATGATTTACCAGGTTCTGTGTAGAGTATATGGTATAGGGTAGAGTTATACAGACCCTGGTTTTACGATGATAGAAGAAAGATTGATGATGGGTATAGTTTGTTATGGCGGCACATTCCAATTTACTCCTGGTATATAATACAGGCGTGTTCTCAGGTATTACGTAGTTAGATAGAAATACTATAAAATTTAACTCCGTCAAATTCATCCTTTTTATATATCTGAATATTTTATAAATCTATATGTTAAAAAAATAAATAAAATGGTAACGCATTAAAAGTGACACAAATTAAAATATTTACTAATTCGCACGATTAATAGAAAATGTGAATTATCATACTGCTACATGTATTTTTGCACACTGATCCGCAGTGAATATTCGCTAGGCCGCGACAATCACTGATAAGGATGACATCGATGTGACTTAATGAGTCACAAAATAACATTTTTCTTCCGACGAATTAAATTCTAAAACATTTTTTTATGTATTAGAAAAATAAATAAAGATGTTTGAAGTATTTGTAGGTAAACATTATTTCCTGTTTTAGTGTAAATGGGTATTAAAATGAATCTGTAACGTCTTATGTAAACAATGCACGCGCCATTGAGCCAATGATTGACGCCGCGTGATATGACGTCATTTGTTGAAGGCAGTCATCTTTTACAGAGATATTAGTAGATTTTCGTAATACTTTGTGAAACAGATTGGTATTTTTGTAGGCTGCACGAAGTTTATATATTGGAATTGTGTTTTGTATTATGATTATCGATAAGGAGATGAATTATTATAAGCTTTTGACTTGTTTTTGAATCTATATATTTTTAACAATGTATGTACTTAACATGAATATTATCTTAAAGATATATTAAATGAGATTAGATAAAGTGCTGGCAGTTCTCACTATAATAGTTAAAAACTGGATAACATAAAGGGAATTTGCTGAAAATTTCAGTCAAATTGATCCACTCTGAACCGAGAATTTAGCGATTGAATTTTCGGCCTAGCCTTGATCATCATTACTAAAGTCGGTACGATAAAAAAAACATAGTCTTGATTGTCCATTTCATAATTAAATCATGAATGAAAGTTGAGCAGCACATCGGATCCTAATCTAGTAAATATTGCAGGCTAGCGATGACATCAGGAGTTGATTATGGTCTGGATAAGTGAATTTAAATAATATTTCAGGCCTAAAGAAAGCCCTGCAATAGGCAAATTTAGCTCTTGCCTCATGTATTATATGTTTAATCAAATATTGTTTAAATACAAAACACAAGAAAAATATATATATACTCTTCAAAAGAAAGTAGGGGATATTCAGAAACAATACAAAACTGTGGAAATGCACTGCTGATTTTATTATAGGTAACCAGTGTATGTTAATAACAGGCCAATTGCCTACACATGAACATAAACAGTTCATGTGGCCGGCTTATCTGACGGTCCCATTTCACTCGCAAAGGGATGCACTGTCAAAAGTGAAAATGGACGTTTTTGATTTTTGTCTTAATAATGAGTAATTGCTCCACCAATCCTCAGACATTCGGCAATTCGTCGTGGCATGCTCCTAATCAACCGTCCAATCACGATTTGGGGGAATCTGACCCACTCCTCTTGCAGTGCCACGGCCAATTCTTGCAGTGTTGTAGGTTGACGTTGACGTCGACGAACACGTCTCCCGATCATGTCCCAGACATGCTCTCTAGGGGAATGTGCAAGTCCGTTCGGCTAGTCTTGGTGATTCCTCCCCACACCATAACAGACCCACGCCCGAATCTGCCATGCTGTCTGACGTTAACGTTAGCATGACGCTCGTTTACACGCAAGTGAAATCCAGAGTAAATCTGGGCTCATCTGATAACATTACACGCGCCCATCGACGATTACCTTAATTTCTACGCTGCCTACACCATTGACGCCTGTTTGTCATGTGCTGGCGAGTTAATAAAGGCACAACACGCGGTCGTCGCGCATGCATATGGGCTGCATGTAGCCGATTTCTAATCGTTTAGGGTGTAACTCGAATTCCTGTAACTTGGTACAAGTTTACAGAAAGGTGACTGGCCGTTTGTCCTCGATATCGCAGGACCTGTGTACGAATGTATCGATCCCGGGCTTGTGTAGTGGCTCTATGTTTCTTGGTACCGGTTCCACAGTCTGCTGACACATTAAGTATGTTGGCTACTGCTCGTTGTGTAGAAACCATTTGAAGCATACCAATAGCACGTAGACGTTCATCATGTTGAATACGTCTCATTGCAAATTAAACGTAACACACTTAAGCAAAGATACGCTTAACGGTAAATCTTATGCAAGAACCGATAGGACAGTAAACGTGGATAGGATAAACCAACACGCGGCAGTTTTCATCAACCCTTTCCTTGAAGTGTCAAATTTGACAATGAACCCCTCTCACGTGTATGGCGCTATTGCATGTCGCATGTGCAGCTCAGTGGTTCTGTTAGGGCGATAAGTTCTTCATCTGTGAACATACTCTCAAAGTATGTCAAGTGTCCATGACTATTTATCATATCACAACCTGCATAGGTATTTGCATTTCAATATCCCCTACTTTTTTGGGAAGAGTATATGAATAATTATCTATAAAAATAAGTTTTTGGTGTTGAATTAAACTTCGTCAAATTCATCCTCTCTATAGGCCTATGTTTGGATATGTAATAAATCTACATTTAAAAAGAATAAATATTATGAATAATTAGTTGAAGAAAAGAAAACGTTTTTTGTGTTGAATTTACTCAAACATACGGAAGACCATTAGGGTCAATTAAATGAAAAAAAAATATTCTGACTATCTTGTAATTACAAGATAGCTATCTTGTAATTAAAAGATAATCATTTTATATAACTATCTTGTAATAACAAGGTTATATTAGGTTATCTTGTAATTACAAGATAGGTTACATTAGGCTATCTTGTAATTACAAGATAGGTTACATTAGGCTATCTTGTAATTACAAGATAGCTATCTTGTAACTTGTAATTACAAGATACGGAGTAGCCCATTAGGGTCAATCACATGAAAAAAAGTGTTCTAACCAGTTTATTTCAAGGTCGCCCTACACTGAATTATCGGATAGCTAGGCAAACGAAGTACTTTTTTATGTTACGGGATCGGCACATTCAGGTCATGCTCCCATTAATATCATTAACTATTTCGTGCCCTCATTAAAAACCATTCATTAAGTTCATACTCTCATTAACTTTATAGTCCCACCAACTTCATACTCTCATTGATATCATTTGTTAATGATACATTGATTTCATGCTCTCCTTAAAGATACTTTCCCGCGTACAAACTATGTGATATGATGATATATTTGGACTAAAAACATATTCAAACTAATTAATCTATCAAAAAAATTGCTTCAAATCCCTCTCAAAACTTTGTATTCGTCGGGAGATACCACAAGCTATAAATAAACTGTTGTTAGACGCCGTGTCCATTTCAGAATGTATTTTCGTTACTTACTGTCCTTTTATCGTAAATATTGAGACCTAAGTAAATTCTTAATTATTTTCTGTCAACTACATTTTCCGTTGACACCCCTCAATGTTACCCAAACCGCCTAACCATTTGAACAAGAAATAACAACCACTTCCGCAGTCAAGCTAGCACACAATAAACTGGCAGACAACAGTTGGGTTGCAAGTTAGTGATACCCTGACATTTTTGCCCATTGCTTGCCCCATTGGTGTTTTTCGGGTAATCCAGTATTTTTCCAGTAAGATTGGGTGTCTATACTTTCCATATATACCAAATTTGCTATACTTTTATTCGAAATAATCACCCGATAATTACTTTCGGAACAATACTAATAATAATAATAAGGGTTCTTATAAAGCGCTAGATTCCAAACAGTACTGTTTGCTCAAAGCGCTAACAAAGTTTACGGGAAACAGTTGTAAATATGAAAATTGAAACAAGTAAGTTTTGAGTTTTTGTTTGAAGATGCTTAAAGATGAAGCAGTCCGTAGATGTAATGGCAGAGAGTTCCGTGGATGTGCTGCATTATAGGCAAATGTTTTCAGGTTATACTTTGGAACAGTTAATAAACACTGGGAACCAGAACGGAGTGATCTAGATGGAGAGTATTTGTGAATTAAATTAAATAGATAGTCTGGTGCTGTGCCGTGCATCCACTGATAAGTTAGGGTTAGAACAGGGAGCCAGTGAAGTGATTTTAAAAGTGAAGTAACATGACAATTATTTTTGGAGATGGTGACGATTCGTGCAGCTTATTCTGAAGCTTTTGGAGGCGATGAATGTTTTCAGCAGAAATACCAGCCAAGAGGCTGTTGCTGTAGTCTAGCTTGGAGATAACTAATGATCTGGTTATGGTATCTTTAAAGCCATGGAATACCATTTACATTTTTCAGAAACTTTTGAAAATCCAAGCCTGAATGTATACCAATTAATTATTAAAGATTCAATCGAATTAAATAGAGGCGCATGAAAGAGCTAGGTTCAGCGAAACGTAAAGATGGCAACGGCTTGTTTAAAAGGGATATAGTCGAAAAGGCGCTAATCCAAAACGACCAAAACTTGTATGACCGTGTAAAGTTAAAACGAACGAAAACAAAACGGCCAAAAATGTGATAAAAATTTAACTAAATATTAAAGAGTGTATGGTTCTATTATTTAGAACCTTCAAATAGACAAAAATGGTTCTAAAAGCATATATTAATGTAATATGAATATATGTAAAGTGATTATTCAATTTTTGAAAAAAAAAATTTGTAATTTCTAATCAATTATGTTCGGTGAATTACAGTTCAAATTGAACGGCAGTCGTTCACGCCTGCTTAGTGCATTTTACAGTTTTTTTTAAATTATTATGTTGTCGTTTGTGAATCAGCCTTTACTAATTACTTCCACATTATGTTGTAGGATATGTTTTTATTTGTTCATTACAAAATGGCACCCGAAACAATAGGGTACTGATAATAAAATGTTAATTGTGTCTTAAATATTGGATATTAGGATCCTCTAGTTTCACGGCAAGATAACAAAATCAATATTGATTGAAATTTCAAATATTATGGAAAATATTGGGTTAGAGACTTGGCTCCTTAAAACATACATTATGCAAGAGCTAAATCTGCCTATCGGAGGTCTTTCTTTAGGCCAGAAATGTTATACTATTGAGTAGACATTTATTAACGTGACAAGACAATAATCAACTCCG